GCCAACTTCACCCCTTGGGCTGTACAAGATTTAGGGTGGAGGAGTAAAAATGTAGATCATGGAATGGTTTGGCTTAGAAGGGACATTAAAGCCCACCTAGTTCCACTCTTGCTGTGAGCAGGACTGCCACTCAGCAGATCAGGCTGCCCAGAGGCCTTCCTACCTGTCTTTGAGCACCTCCAGGATTGGGGCATCCACAGCTTCTCTAGGCAGCCTGTTGTATGCCTGCATGGCTGCACTGATGGCCCAAGGCAAAGCCACCCAGAGGCAGGAAGGGTGATGATGTGCGCACAGTGCATGGGGCTCTCCCTTTTGCAGAGGAGCATGGACTAGGGCTGTCCTCCCACAGGCAGGGCTGCCAGCTACAGGCTGAGGTAATGCTGCCACTTGGCTGCACACTCCCACAAGTATCACACAAACAAACTGCACAAAATGAATGGGAGGAGCTACTTGAGGGAAGGGTCAGGAAGGGGTTAGGGAAAAGTTCTTCACTAGAGGGCCATGGGCATGGAACAGGCTGCCCAGGGCAGTGGCACGGCCCTGAGTTCCAGAGTTCAAGGAGTGTCTGGACCGTGCTCTCTGACATTGGGTTTGGATTTTGGGTGGTGCTGTGTAGAGCCAGGAGCTGGACTCAGTGATCCTCATGGGTCCCTTCCAACTCGGGATATTCTATGATTCTGTGAACACAAAATCAGCATCAACATAACAGGGCTTGTAAATATGGGACCAGGGGAGGGAAAACCAACCAGTCATTCAAGCACTGTACTCCAAGCTCCTTTATCTCCATATTTGATCTCGAAGGGAAGGTTAAAAATGTTCATTTACCCATGGCAACATCTTGGACTCACAGAATCAACCACAGATCCCTTGAATGGTAAAGATGAGTAGTTTTTTTTTCCCCTCCTCTTCTGGCTGAGTACTATGAGTACTGCAATTTTTTTTCCATTTTATTTGCAGTTTTTTCATTCTTATATGTCAAATGTCCAGCCCATTTCACTGCTAACTTACACTTGCAAGAATGTTTGTGTAATCAAAGAAAATATTTTTAAGTGTCAGGACTGAGGAGTATTAAACCATAGGAGATAAGACTGAATCCTGGCTCAAGGCCTGGAAGCTGTGAGCCAGACTGATAGAAAATGCAGAATGTGGTGTTCAAGGTACTGGCTTTTTCCAAACACAGAGTCCCAGGTACTTGGCCTTTCAACTCAACCTAGACATTGTGTTTTTGGGAGCTTATTTGAAACAAGCAAATGGCATTAAGCAAACAACAAACAAACAGACTCCCTTCCTCCCCCCACACTCAGACTAACCCTATTTCAGCCCTATTTCCTATGCAGGGTCGTAAAAACAATTCAGAAAGATAATGGCCTTTTCCAATTTCTAGCCATAAATAGCATCCCTGCAGTGAAGAGGAATGCTAGCAAAAAGTTAAAGTATAACCCAACCATTCTGTCCAAGGCCTCACACTGACTAACTTTCCATTGTCAGCTTTGCATTTCAGGAAAGCATGTTGATAAATAACAGGAATATTAAGGACAATACAAACATTTGCATTCTTTCCACACCTTCAACTTGCTTTTGATGCTTTCCTATATGAAATTAGGAACAAAGCACATAAGGAAGTTGGGTTCTGTCCCAGTTCCAGAAAGCAGGCTGTATCGTGTAAACACTGTGGAAACTCCAAAAGCTGGCACCACTGAATTACATTTCTCTGCCTGCAGGTCTCTGTTCCTGCTTGCCTCCTCTTTTAGCTGAGTTTCTAAAGGCTTCAAAGGTGGATGCTGCCCTTCAGTGGCACTTGGAGGGCTGATAGTGTTTTCAAAAAACAAAAGCAAATGATGCTACCCTGACAGAGGGAAGAACAAGGTCAATCATGCGATGCAAATCAACTGTTAGAGAAAATCAAAACAGAGGAACCTGCCAGCCCCACAGCATAGACTGAACATGAATAAACAAAACTTGATTCCTGCTTAATTTTATCATCAGAGAAGGTGAAAGAGGAAAATACATAAGTGCAAAAATACTTAGGTAATGCCATGAATACAGCAATGACTTTGGAAACAAAGCTTAAACGATAATCTTGTTGCTATAAGGCCCTGCATGTTCAAGCTAAGTGTGCATCCCATCCAGAAGACATAGCTGAGGACTTCTGAGGATCTGACAGATGTTTAAATGCTATGTGGGAAGGACTCTGGCTCTGAATATCTTTGCTCTCCTTTTATTAGGTTAGTGGTTTTTAGTTATTGACAGAAAGTTTCATAAAAAAATCCAACCAGTTCTGAAAATTCAACTGTAATATCCCACAGCAGCTGAACACTATTTGTGTATTTCAAGACTTTTGTTACAGAAATGCCAGGTTGTATGGGAACTGCTGAATCACAGCCTGAACCTCTGATTGATCACCTGAGGCGAGCAATGAGTCAGCCCTGGGAGCACAGCTGAAGGCAATTCACCTGTGCTGCAGGAAGGGGTGGAGCCTGGCTGCACCTCTCCTAGACCCATTTAAGAGCTGACTACCAGAAGGAAAGGATCTCTTCTGGAGGTCCACTCTGCTGGAGTTTCATAGGAGCTCGGGATATGGGTAAGTGTCCTATCTTTTTTGTTTCTGCTTTGGTGTAATGACTATGTAGCCAAGCTCTTTGGTATATTATAACATCTGTGTATTCATTGATTGTATGCTTAGTGAGCCAGGTAAGCCAAATATACCTTATATCCTGTCCTTTCTATGGAATTTCTTTAAGTGGGTCAGGGGGGAGAATGTCATACCTTTAGATGAAATGATCCCTGGACAGATCTCTGGGTTCTCTTTATTACCAATTAGCAACCATAGTTTAGAAATGGGGTCCTCTGTGTACTATGGGGAATATTTCCCCATTCTGCATGATGGAATACTTTCAAGGCTTTCAAGGATTAGACAGAGATATCGTAACTATGAAAGGCAGTTAGCCACTGTTAAATGCCTTAAATCAAGCTGAGATAAGAGCTGACACCTTAGAAAGTGGAAATCAGTTATTAAAAGACCATATTGAAAAAGTAGAATAGGAATTTAATGTATTAACAGGGAAAAGACCAACTTTACATTCCCTGATAGGTCAGGTCTGTGATATTTCAATAGATGATAATGACATCTCTGAAGTAATGGACCTGGTTGAACAGGAAAACAAAAACTGTAAGTCAGATTTAGAGGTTCCACTTATGGCGGATTCCTTGGAACTCCATCCTGTTATAACCCAAAAGACAAAGAACAAGATGGTCAGGGGGCACTCCTGCTGGTCTAATGGCCCCCTGCCCAAACACATTTACGTGTAATGGCTAGGCCATATACACCAACAGAACTAATGGATATGGTGCAGCAATTTTGGCAGTGGCTGAAAGAGTGTACCTTGTGGTTACTTAGATTATGGGATTTAGGGGTGGAAAGCATCATGGAAGTATCAAAATTGGCCACCATGATACCCTGCCTTCAGGCAGAGACTGTATGCTGCTGTTCAGTATAATGATGAGAACCATTCAATAATAGACTGGTTAATGGCAACATGCTGCATGGTTTGGTTGAACAAATCAGATATTCCATTAAACACAGGATTATGGTCTATGGAGGACCTTCAATGTTATATTCCTGAACTGGGTGTAAGAGAAGTGATATGAGGACTCATTTGAAAGCCCAGATATGGTAAAGTTTTTGGCAGGTATGCGAGACTTAATCTTACAGCAGGCACCTTCTCACCTCTATGGGACCTTAGTTTCCATATTAAACCCCCTGGTGGCCTTGGAGGCTGTGATTCAACAGGCTGCCCAGTTCGTAGCTGATTTGGGGGAGACAGAGTCTGTGCACTAGGCGCAGTATTTGAGCAGTAGAAGCAGAGGTGCTTCCAGTAGTTAAAACCAAGAGGCCACCTGTGTGGAATCCTCAGTTGGGGCCTGTAAGGGTCTCACGAAAACAAATGTTTAACAATCTTATTTGGCTGGAGTCCAACTTGTGAAAATCGACTGCCAGCCCAATCAGATTCCAAAATTACCCTAAGAAACCAAGGGTAAGAGTTATAGAAAGAGTACCAATGGTGATGTGAAACTTAGAGGATTTCATTGTTCCCAATAGAATAAAGAAGCCCCCTCAGGTGTCTTGGGTCATGATGCCCAGGTCACCTGAAACAAAAGACTTGACTTTGGTTCAGTTCATGGCATGACAAGGGATGTTAGTCCCCCTAGGGCCTCCAGTCCCTATGTAGAGTTGACAGTATTCTGGTCCCGGAAAATCGTCCAGGGAGTTATGGCACTTGTTGATACTGGAGCAGAAACATCAATTATTTATGGAGATCTGACCAAATTTGATGGAGATAGAGTGGTGATTGGTGGTTTTAGGGAAAGACTATTCCTTTCACCCAAACATGGTTGAAACTGGGGGTTGGATGTCTCCCAGTCCAGGAGTATAAGGTATCTATTGCCCCAATCCAGGAATACATCTTGGGCATAGGTATTCTGTGGGGTCTGGCTCTCCAGACAATTGTGGGAGATTTCAGACTTTAGGACACAATACTAATACATCTCTGTCAGATTTAGCAAATGCATTCTTCAGTATCCCAATTGCTGAGGAATCACAAGATCAGTTTGTGTTTACATGGGGGTGCAGGCAGTGGATCTTTCAGGTCCTGCCACAGGGGTACGTGCATTCACTAATGTAAAGGCAATTCACCTGTGCTCCTAGACCAATTTAAGAGCTGACTACCAGTGGGGAAGGATCTCTTCTGGAGATCTGCTCTGCTGGAGTTTCACAAGCGAGCCCAGGGTATGGGTAAGCATCCTATCTATTCTGCTTTGGTGTAATAACTATGTAGTCAAGCTCTTTAACATCTGTATATTCATTGATTGTACACAGGTGCTCATAAAAATCTCAAATCATGATCATTTTTCCCCCAGTCACTCTATTCAGTATCCTAAGTAGCTGAATGAAAGTGATTTTGACTCTGGTGCTTATGGAAAGAATGGACACAATGCCATACTTTTTTTCAGTTCAAGTTTTACTCCCAATTGCACAAAGGTTGAAAAGGTTTTCAGAGGTTGAAAGTCAGTATAATAATTTTGGTTTCATGTATAAAACCACAACCAGAAGGATACAGGAATTGTGTGATGGTTCCAACATGCAGCATGGAAGTGTCATACAAACTAATTTTATCTTATACAATGTTTTTCTTCTACATTCTCTGCTTCTCCAATGATAACTGTACAACACCTGCAGTTTTGTAAGGTTAAAATATTTTGGTAGGATACCACATTATGGAAGATTCCAATGAATTTGTACAGTTTACAGTACAAAATAATGACAAGTCAGAGCATTGCTAAGAGTTTATTTGGAAGCTTTTACTTTTGTTCTTATATCACAAAAGACATGTTTAATGTTTACAACAAGTATTAGAAACTGAGATGTTTTTATTTCTACTATTATAAAAGTAACAGAGGAGACCATTCTGAGCCATCTTCAAAATGCAGACCAATCTTTTTTTGTATATAAACTGTACACAAAAAACAAGGCACTATACATTTTTTGGATATTAAAGTATAAAGGTTGATTCGCATAGTTTCTCAAGAAATCCATGCTATAAATACAAATGCTTTGTTCAGTTTAGCACCTGAAGCAGCACTGAGAACAATTCATTGCCTATTGCAAAGAGAAACTTTTCAGAATGCGCAAGAGATACATATTGGTGGTATAGCTAATTCAGTACAAGCAACTGCCATCCAGCTACTGTTCTGTAGTTCTGACATTAAAGTCTTGAAAGTGAATATATATTGCATTGTTAAATACATACTTGTTCTATGTGTTTATATAAATATAAATTCTTTGTAATCCACAAACTAACAAAATAACACTTTACAAAGAGAACTTCTTCAAAAACAAAAATGGCAAGTATTGGAGATAGCCAAAGGACAGCTACTGCAGTAGCTCAAGAAACTACTGTTTAAGTGCATAGGAGAGCTGAGCTTAAACATAACCTTCAAAGTCAAAATTGAATTCCATTTCCAAAGAGTTCTCTTGGCCTTTTATCATATTACACGCCTCCAGATAGGTAGTTGCTAATAATTTCAGATTATCTCTATTTTGTAAATGTGGAGCACAGTTTTGCTAAAGGGCATAGAAAGTGAAGATGGACATCCCTTTGGTGCTCAATCCAATAGATACAGCTTAAAAAAGTCCTTTTGCCTTCTTCAGATTAACCTGCTTCCAAGATGGCAGCGCGTTATACTCTTCTCTTGTCATCTCTAACGCAACCTGCATTGAAAACAAGAGGGTACACCACTAGTTAAGGCACACAGCAAAAACATCAACTGACTTGACAGCAAGGTTGGACAGATGCTCACAGAGTATCAGTGTACCCATTCTCTCCTTACCTCAAAGTCCTCATCCGAAAGATAAATTTCAAGCTTCAGAGGATCAACTCCCTCAGGTAAAGGCCTGGCTAAGAGATCAGCTAGGGGATACACAGTTTTACACAGCTTGGCCAGCACATCTTCTACAAGGATTATCTGGTTAGAAACATCAGCATCCTATGGGGAGAGAAAAAAACACTAAGTTCAGGATCACAGTGCTGAAACCATCAGTTGCTTGCCTCACTCTGAGGACAGCATGGGATCAACCTGTTCTGCCTGGCTCACAGAGCGCAGATCTGTACCTGTAGGTCTGCACACTGCCTACCACACTTTGCCTACAACCATTTCACAGCCACAAAAATGTCTGTGCTTTGCAGAAGGAATTCCTGCATTTTAAGACTCTCAGCTTAAGGTCAACTTGTGTGTTTAGTCACAAATCCAGCAGTTCCCTCTTTGGATTGCTGCAGGAGATTTACAAAGAAACAAATGTGATTTGCCTTGAGATTCCCCTTCACTGAAGGCTTTTAAAACAGTTGCGTAATTCAGCTGTGATGGTGCTTCCCAGGTGGGGAAATTCATGCTGGAGCTCTCTGTGGGGCATGTTGCTCCCCAGCTCCTTCCATGTGGAGGACTAATCAGAGCTGAAGGTTGCTGCCTGTTTCCCAAAGTTGAAACAGTAGTTCTGCTAAATGCTAACAACCATTTCTATGAGACAATTCAGACAGCACTTCACTCCTGCCCTGTTTTTTACAAAAAAAACAGCATGAGAAGTTACATAAAAAAGAACTGGGAATGCCTCTGATAGCCACACTCACAGTCAACATTTAGCTATGTTGTTTGTTTTTTCCTGTGCAGACTCTTAAACCACACTTTAATAGGCTCACTCTTGGGGTTTTGGGGCTTGACATCACAAAATAGCAGTGTTACTGGCAATACAAGACAACTACTAGCAATAGGAAACAGTGCACACTGAAAGTATTTACCATTTCTGTGATCTCTGCAATGTCTTCCCTGTGTTCCCAACTTGGGAACATATTAGTGAAGGTCAGAGGCTCTAGGCCAGCATGAATGAGATAGGACTTTGGGGGCTTCTTTACATTTTTTCCTAAAAAACAAACAAAAAAAACCAGTAAAAACACAAAAAAGAGAAATTAAAAGTGGCACCATATGTTCTGGTATCATATGCTAAGAAGAACTACCCTGTAGGTAATTAAGTAATTTGAGGCATTAGGAATACATTTCATCATGATTTCTTTTACACATAGTATGGCAGCTTTTAATGTGGGGTTGGTGTTCTTTTGTTTGTTTTCATTGTTTTGATGTGTGCTTTTTACTGTATCTGACCACAAAGATTAAAGCATGTACACTGACAAAAACTTTACGGTTACTTCCTAATTCAGTGTACATCTTATCTTACAAAAAAAAGTGAGAATAGTGTTAGCAGAATGTGATGCTCTGAAATCAGCCAAATTCAAGTAAATAAAACCTCCTCATATGCCCAAGTAGAAGTGTCCTACCAGCAGCAAGCACCAATGAAGCTTGAAAGGCTATGTGAGAATGCGTGAACTGTCCTTAACTTGGGATCCTGACATTTGACATAGTCATTGTCACAACAAATTCAAAGGAACAGGATCTGGAAGTTAAAAAGAAGTATTGCAATAGCTAGGTGGCAAATTCTGCTGATGTTTAAATTTGTATAAAACATGTGAGAGAACACTACATATGGCAATAAGCCCTGTCTAGGAGTGATACCATGTAAGAGAAAGGGTTGAAGTTATTACACCAACAACAGCTGAATAAAGGCCCTGTTGCTTGAATGGATTAATACCACAAAGATTCAAAAGCACCAATAAACTCAAATGCCTTTAGAAAGAAGCAGACAGGCAGTTGGGGCTGGGAGGAGCTATTCTAAAAAAATTGTACCTTCTCCTTATTTGGACTAAAACAAATCACTCTAATCAGATTGTTTTTCCAGACAGGAGATGGAAAAGCTGAACATGTTGCCAAGTGCAGAATCAGGAGAAACTAACAAAGCAGTACCACACAACCTCACTTCTGAAAGCTGTATCTTCTTGCAAAATTCTATGTGTAATTCCAGAGCATCTTTAACAAATTAGGATTTACTCAAGAAAATATCAATCTGCTAAAGAAGACTTTGTTTAGTCTCCACCATATAGTCTTCATTTTTGTCGGAAGATCTGAAAGAACATGGCCACCTACCCTCTGCTAGGGAGCAGCCACAGCATTGATGCAACATTATGCTGAATGCAAATGGAGAGAATAGTTGGACATCGTTGTTCCAGTAAGCTTGCAAAATGTCAACACTACAGGTTTGGCTTAACATCAGGTATTGGTAGCAAGCTGATTAGAGAGAGCATGTTAGCATGAAATTGAACAGTAGAGAAAAAGCTCTATGGAGCAGTCAAACAAATGTATTAGAATGTGAATGCTCTAACTACACAATTTAGACAGGAGGTTTATTATCTGAATGCTTGATGTTAAGTCCTCTCTTCCACGTGTTTGCACTGTGGTTTATTTGTTCACTCTACCATGAATGATTCAACAAGTACTTAAAAATTCAACAGGTACTTTAAAACTCTGTGTTTCAAAAATATGCCAGTCTGCTCTGGTTGAACTGCTCCTGTCTCATAATTCAGTCAAGAGACAAAAGGAGAGCTGCATTTGATAATGGGCCAGTATAGGCATAACCATGTCATAAGACTGACTTCTTACATAAGCAGATAAACAGTTTCATTGCATGAACTCTGCCCTCATCACAGGCTGGTCTCCACAGTCATAGTCACTGATGATCAGACCATTTTTTCTCTCTCCTGGCTGTCTGCAGTTAAGTACTCTAGACTGCTGACTTAATGGATAAAACCACAGAAAATTGTTTCACGATGTTCTGATGAACTAAATTAAAATTTATGCACAAGGAGAACTGTTAGGTACATTCAAGGGATATCCAGAGGAGCTAATCAATCTTTTTCATACCATCATGTGGTTAAACATTGCAAGTCAGGAAAGAGAGGAGTGAGAGGGAAATAGAGGATGAAAGAAATGGAGAAAGAAGAATAGAAGTGTCGTCTTATGCTTCTGATCACTCTACCTATATACCAATCAGAATATTTCCTACATTTAATCTCTTGGTTTTTAATCTCACCCCCTTAGTAAGTAATGACACACAAGATCTAGTCAGCTCTGGTAGCCTGATGCAATGAAATTTTGAACTGGTTGACAGAACAGCCTAATGCTAGATCATGGAAGTGATGGGCCAGCAAAAAAGGTCCCATTCTATGATTCTGTGACATCAGCTTTGGCATAGAAATAGTACAAGTAGTATTGATCTTTCAGGGTAATAAACTTGCTCTGTACCCATCCAACCAAAGAGGAAAAAGCTCTTACTACTGCAAAATTATAGTCAGGGGCTACAAAGTTAGCACCCTGCAAAAAACCTATGATATGTATACTATACTTCAGACCCACGAGGAGTCACTGAAGAGCTTTTAACTGTGCAAACTGAGGTGTAGCAAATTTAACCCCCTTTTCTCATCATCTAAGTCAGTGATGTTCAAGAAATCTAGAAAAGTATCCAAACCTCAACATGTATATCAGATTCCATTTTTTGCTGGGGCCAGAAAACATGATTTTTATTGCCAGAAGATTACAGCACTGCATAGCAAACACAGCCTGGGAGGATCTTATTTCCATCTCTCTCTCACTGCCTGCTGAGCAAGTCCGGGCATTTCACTGTATGGGCTCTGTTCCTCTCTGCTGACATTTACTTCTGCTGGAAGCATACTGTATGAAGTGATCTCAGAGGTGCATGTAATCATTCTGGGGGGATGTAGTGAGAGAAGGAAGTGGCTAGCTGTTTCTTTAGGAATTCAGCCATCCCTGCTAAAGATGTTTCCATGTACTGCCTTGACTGTAGCACCCTACACATATGCTGTTTTGGTTGGGCAGTGACAGGGACACCAGAAGATCAACTACACAGAGCAGCAACACAGTCTCAGAAGGGTCACATTTCAGTGTCTCTGACACTGGTTTTCAGCGGTCTCCTGCCAGTTGTTACCAGTTCCCCTCAGTGACACCAGGCCACTGAACAGAATCGTCGATTCATAGAATGGCCTGTGTTGAAAAGGACCACAATGATCATCTAGTTTCAACTCCCCTGCTATGTGCAGGGTCACCAACCACCAGACCAGGCTGCCCAGAGCCACAGCCAGCCTGGCCTTGAATGCCTCCAGGGATGGGGCATCCACAACCTCCGGGCAACCTGTTCCAGTGTGTTATCACTCCTCTCTGTGTGAAAAACTTCTAACCTAAATCTCCCCTGGCTTAGTTTAAAACCATTCCTCCTTGTCCTGTCACTATTAACCCATGTAAACAGTCATTTCCCCTCCTGTTTATACACTCCCTTCAAGTACTGGCAGGCCACAATGAGGTCTCCCTGGAGCCTTCTCTTCTCCAAGCTAAACAAGCCCAGTTTTCTCAACCTTTCCTCAGAGGAGAGGTGCTACAGCTCTCTGATCATCTTGGTGGCCATTCTCCTCTGGAGCTGTTCCAAGAGCTCCACATCTTCCCTGTACTGGGGGCCCCACGCCTGGATGCAGTACTCCAGATGCTTATAAGAGCTGAGTGGGGGGCAAAATAGAATAGAAACATCATAGCAATTGCTTCTGTTCCTATTGGATCTGCAGATTGGGAAGTAGAACGGTTCTATCTTTGTAAGGATGGAATCCGACATGGATATTGCTCTTTCTCTTCAAACATACAAGTGCCCATGGGAGATGATGACAGTTGTCACTAGTTCTGTCACAAGCTGTAAAGATTATTTGCTACAGAAAAAAAATAATCAGTATCATCATGAGATCAGCCTTTCCTTACAAAGGACACAGTTTGCACCAGTTAGTAACTTGGTGCTTTGTGAGAGCAATTGTGAGAATTGCTCTGAGCTGACCAAACATGGCTGTTACTATGCCTTCTTCTCTCCCCACCTTTCTTTATTCATCCTCTGTTGGAAGATGCAAGGTCTGTTTCCAGTCTCACATAACCTTAGATGAAATGAGATGAAAGCACTGCAACGTTTCAAAGAAACTCTACTAGTGTAGAAATGAATCTGGACTCTTACATGACCATCAATTACAGCTTGAATCACTGCACGCTGAGCAGCAGTAACTCTGCCTTGTAGAAATGAGTCTAGGAAACTACCGAGCAAGGGCCTTAGCTCTGTGTTCCAGCTTTTCCAATAGCCATCTATTTCAGTGTGACACTTGTTCTTGATCTTCAGTCTTTCCATCTCCCCCAGTAAATCAAAACCCAGTTATATCAGCAAAAAGTATTTTCATTCAGTCTTTTGACACACACAAGCTTATGAAATCTAAGAGGAACTAGGGAGAAAGCAAATTTAAGAGGCTCTGTTCTCAGAATTCCCTTTTAGAAATCTGATGTCTGAACTATGCTCTCACAATGAGCACACGGGGAAAAAAAGCCTTTTCTGTGAGAAAAGGGTCACGAGAGAAACGTGGCAACTTGGGAATAACGGCATTACTGGGCAAATTATTTGCTAGTAAAGAGTGGAGAATGTATCTTCAAATACACAGGTGTTTATCAGGGGAGCACCTAAGTGAACAGCCCCTAGAAAAGAATGGCACACACAGAACAGCCAGGCACACCATCTGTTACCTTTGCAGTACTGGAGCACTGTCTCCATGGCGCATTTCCTGTCTGTAGCCCATCTGATTCGAGCTGATCCAGTGATTTTGTTTTCCACAGGCCACCAACCTTGCCACAGGTACACTTCATGGTGATTGTCAACAAGGAACAGTGCTATGCAGGAAAAAAAAAAAAAAGCAAACCCGCCATTACCACTCACTAGTTCTTGGAATTCCCTGAACAACATCAGCCTTACATGCTTGTCTGCATCAGAACAGGATCATTTTGAAGCTTACCAATCCCTTTTGTTATTCATCCAGCTGAACCTCAGCTGAACTCTGATTTTCTGATATAAACAAGGTATTTTTATAGCAAGCTTTTGGGATACAAATATATTTGATTAATTCTCAGCATATTTATCATGGAGAAATTACTCATTGCTTAATGCTGTATAAACATCACATACACACATTTTCCTGCTATAAATCAAGTTAGAAGTCATTACGGTAACTGAATTGCTGCCCAAGGCATGATACAGTTATCTGTTTTTCAGTTACAGAAGTATATTAAAGCAGATACCTGGCTGTGGGGCAGTGTAAAGATCCTCTTGCAAGAAGGGCATAGAATTGATGACAGCAGGGTCTCTTGAAGGGTAAACGAACTCAGTGGCTGAGAATTCTCCCGAAGAACTACTGAGGCTGAACAGGCGGGGGGTGAAATTAAACTTTCCTGGATCTTGAAAGAATAAAAACAAGAAAAAAAGATTTTCAATAGGAAATAATGGAGATGAATGTATCAAAATAAATAAATAAATATAAATATTTAGAGTGACTCTAAATTCTGTTTTTTCAAAAATCAAGAAAGATAACCAGATGTCTTGGGAGACTGGCAGCAGCTGTGATGAACTTGAGCTAAAAGGCTGGCTGCCATCAGTTACTAGCTGCCTGGCTAGTTACTGTCAGCCATGTCATAACTGGCTGTTTCACAGCTTAAGTGAAGCAAGCCCTTCTCAAAGCCTACTTTCCACTTTGTAAATCAATTCTCCTGCTACCTTTGCTGGCAGTTTGAAAGCAAAGACTGGAGAAGAATGTGTGCAGAACAGCTCCCTAATCCCTTCAGAACAGAAGTAAAATGTTTAGGTAACAGCATTAACTGTTGCTCCATGCTGCATAAACACAGAGGGGCTGCAGAAGGGGGTGAGAAGAAAATGAAACACTTGTTTTCCAGCACTTTCCTTCTAGAAGAGTATTGCTTAACTTCATAGAGGTTGGGATTTTTTTGTTAGCAGCTCATTGAAAGGAAGTAGTTCTTCAAAACCTGTACATTAAATCTGACAATACTACAGACCAGTAAAGTAAACTGGAAGTGCCAAACTCAGGAATGCAGGTCTACCTTGCAACATGCAATCATAGGCCTTTCGATCTCTCCTTCCTAATGCGTCCCAGAATCCCAAAGGCTCTGACCCTTCATCACATTCATGTATTGTCACCTTGCTGCTGCTGTGCAGCCCTGCTTCCAGCGGACATCTGCAAAACACAAAGAAAAAGACTGAATCCAGTTTTTCTCCCTGCCCCAATTACCACCACACAAACTTGCTGGCTCAGATTTTACTAGAACACAAAACCACTTTTTGTACATTGTGTCATCATGATCTTTTGGAAAATGATGACAAAAGTTATCAGTAAACAAGACACAAAATTTCAACAATCATTCTCATAGCATCACATACCCAAGGAGGAGTAGATGCTCACAGGAGCTTACTGTTCAAGTTTGTAATTACTGCTGTCCTCCTTGCATGCTTTCTTAAATTCATTTCCAATCACTTATTCACAAGGCACATCTTCCCCTTGGTTCTAATCCTATCAGCTGGGATTTAGTTTGCTACTCAAATATGGAGATTCTCCCTCCACGTGGATGTTTTTTGCAACTTTAATTAGTACAGTAGGATGAATAAGTGATTTTCACCTGAAGTGATCACAGAACACATTTTCCCCACTCCAGTGAATCAGTTACCTGTCATTCCTCCTTCTTATCAAGCATGCACATACTGCAATTGTACTCAGAGGACAGCTTTATTTATTTCAATTGTTATACGAGGCAGACTATTTTAAGCAAATTGGTAGTTTGTATAAACATTTCCAAAATACAGGTCAGACACTCACTGTTCTTTTATTTTATTGGCTGCTGTTCTTCCTACATCCTTGGTGTGAGACTGTGCTTTGCAGCCATGCCACAGGTAGATAAGAGCTTTATTTATATTGAGGACAATCATGGATGTCCGGGAACGCAGGCTGCTGCAGTGACATGCTACTTCAAGTAAGTTTCCTTCATTGGGAACTTCTCCTCGCACGCAATATAGTCTCCAGTCACCTGGAGCAGACAGGAACAGTGCAGTGGTATTATACAGTCACATGGAATTGAAAATTCAAGACCTCTGCTCTGGAACAGCTATTTTCATACCAGATGGATTTCACATGTTGTGTTCCTCTATTGTTACGGAATGAACTAAGCATCAGGTTTGGCTAAAATTACTAGAGAAACTGCTGCAGAAAGAAGTGCCTTCTGAAACCTTGCGATGAGAGAGACTTCAAGAGTCACATCTGCTCTGTTAAGAGCAGAAAAGTCAAGATTCTGTTCCTTTTTAACTTGCAGGAACAAAAAGGGAAACAAACTGAATAGTCTTTCTATTCAGCATCTCTTTCTCTATGCACCTTAGGCACAGCAGGTCACATTCAGAAGTGAACTGGAATATTTCCAAGCTACATCAAGGAATATGTTGTAAAGTGCAATGAATAAGTAACAAAAGCTTAATTTTGTATTAGTCACAGAACTGCTCATAAAAATGCTCTTTTTCCTAGAGTATGTAGAAAAGAATGTTTTAACGCAAAGAAGCACTTTGCTTAATTAAAAACCAACTAGAACAATTTATGCATGCATCAATACAATGAAGTCAGCTTGCTCTTGGCTGACAAAGTCCACTCTAAGCCCAGGGAAGATATAAACTACCTTGACAGCAAAGCAGTCTCATGGTATTCATGGCATTCATGGCTCTTTTCTACAGATATTGTAGTTGAGACTGAACACAAAGTCCTTCACAATAGGTTAAGAAAAGACTGTGGGGCAGAAACTCTTAACGAACAGTAATTTACTTTGTGCATTTTCTTCTTCCTCTTCCCTTCTTCCAGCATGCACAATCATCCCTCCTTGGAAGCACTGCAGGAAGCATGGCGGTTCTTTCCCTTGAAGCACTTGTACCTGGAAATTGGAAAGCACCACTATTCATTTAAAAAAATGAAGCAACCATACAGTCTTGGGAGAACTATTTCCTGTGGTTTATTAAAAATTATATAATTACAGCCACCCACAAAGGTGGCTTTCCTTGCACTTGGCTGAATATCACTGAAATTACCATATGCGCTGACATTCAATGAGTTTCATATGTGACCTACATATTAAAAGAAACCTCTATCTGGAATCCAACAATTAAGAGTTTCAGAGGATAAAAAATACAAAATAAACTTTAATTTATATTAGTTTAATTTAACCATTATTTGAATTCTTTACAAGACAGAGCCATCTTGCCTGACATTCTTTGAAACTGCTTGGGAAATACTGTAGGAACTCTGGTAGGCTTAAAATTTGCTGTAAAACTGGCTTATGTGACAACATGCACGTTCTTTGTTCAATTCTGATTGTGAAACAGAGATAGCAAATTGTTAAATCAGCTAGGTTGCACAGCATCCCACACACTGAGTCACATGGTGTTTGCAAATCTTCTCTGTGAACTCACGGCTTAATAGTCATGTTTACATTGCTGCTCAAGAATTAATTACAGCTTTATCGAGGTACAGAGATTAACTTTAAATCTCCTAATTTTGTGTGCTCTTACCAGTAATGCTGAACTCAGCCTAACAACCAAGTCTATACTCTTTAAATTAGCTGTATGTGCAGTTGTTAGAATTTTTGCAAAATAAGGCAATCTCCTCCATAATGACAGAGTAAACAAATTGAAAATTTGATTTCAAACATATTTTCATGTTTTAGCCTTGCAGAAAATGCTCCTGACAGAGTTCAACAAAACGGAGTGCTTCTCCTGCTCCCAGTGCTAGGAACACATTCTGTTACCTGGATATATGGAAAGGGAAGGCACAAATTTCTTTCACCTATGCTTCACTTCTTTCTAAGATGGAGGAGAGAAGATGTCTTTCCTCAGCCATTCTCAGAAATACAGTCTCTATAAGTGAGAGTGGGAAATGAAGATCCATAAAGAAGACTGATGCGTCTCTGGAAGCTGGACTAAAGCCAAAAGTAATTTTGAAGTCTAGCTAATTTCACCTGCAAGGATATCATTACAGAAAGAGAGGAGGCAAAAAAGATCACCCATGCTTTCTGCCAGTGACTTTGTGGGCTGGCAGCTCTTGCCAGGCCTCCCATCAAGACCTGCAGGAAGCTCACCTGTGCTCCTCTCTCCTCATCAAGTTCCACTGTCATCAGTGCCGATGTCCCTTTCTCACTCACTGTGGAGTGCCTTCCTTGCCAAAAGAAATACACACATTTCTCTTTTCCAACCGCTCTTACTTGTTGCTCTCCTTTTTGTCTGCTTCCAACTGCAAAACAGAAAGCACATGCTGAAGAAAGTACGTTGTCTATAGGTTTAAGCAGCACGTGGTTTAATCTCATCTGCCAGCTCAGCACTATCCTGGCCAGAACAGGAAAGATGAAACAACCAATTGGAGGAACATCAGGCCACCAAGCCAGCATGCTCTTATGCAAAGCTGGTATTACCTCACTGGGTGGATGTAAGCCCAAGTGCAGAGATGCTCACCTAAGCCAAAAAGAGAAGAGCATATAGAAAGAAGTGCTAGTATCTGGAGCAAAATCACTAACAAACACTTGAGCAAATTAGCATGTGAAATGGTATGTCCCATCAGGTTACCAGAAGAGTGCTTTATGGCTCATTTTCCACATTACACACTGTTCTTTGGCAGCAAAATAGCTGGCTGCTGAGCAATAGTGGAAATAGCAACAGTTGAGAAAGCTACAGGCATAAAAGAAAACTCCTTCTTGGTAAAGGAAAACTACAGAACAAAAGAAACCAAAGACGTATTTTGCAGTCATAAAAGAGACTATTTGGTAAGCTTTTTAAAATGATGTTTGGAGTAAGTGAAGTTCAACAATAAAACCAGTTATGGAATATTTTATTCTTACTGGTGAATAGTAGATAACATATAATTAATTCAAAACCAAGAGCTTTCAACCAGATTCCTAAAAATGCGCTGACCAGAATCCAACTGAAACACTTAAGAGAGAGTATCTTGGTTTTATTTTTTAAATTGAGAATATTCAAGCTACTAGTCATATCTAAAATGTATGGTTTCACTCGTAACTGTGCATTTAGCCCATAAAAGTACAGCCTCCTACACAACAATGTGTTCATTTTTGGAGCAATGGAATATATTTTCAGCCCTTTGGATTAAGAGACTGTTTACAATTCAATATTAGTGTTATACACTTCTCCCACGGCTTACAGGCTTTTGTGTTTTTCTTGGATTTACCAGTATCAGAAGTCAATAATGCTGAAAAAGACCTTCCTACGTTTTTTGGCTAAAAGCCTGAGGCTGTATAACTGTTTCACTGCTTTCAACTAGCTTTGATCTTTTCCTACTCAGAGCAATCCTTTTTTATATTATTTCTATTTTACTGATCACAAATGCCACTTCTTATTATAGTGCCAGAAGGGAGAGTTCCAATGAGCACAATGAGCTGATTTTCAACATTTACCTGCTGCTGTCAGGCACTTTGTCAGAACACAGTCAAAATTGTTTGTTTGAACCCATAGAAAAGGGTTTCCAGCAAAAATGACAGTAAGGGCATTGAGTTGGCAAGGACTCTTCCTGTCATTGTTGCTGTTCTCCATTACCCAACAAAGGCTTTCCTGTTGCTAAGCCTACCTCTCCTGTATCCAGATGCCTAGTTATTTTGGTATTAAGCTCTGTGCACAGTTCTGGCTTAATGAGCTGTCTTGTGAATGTGTACACCACTGTTGGGCAAAAGCAGAGATAGACAGTACTACATTCAAGCTATGAAAAATAACTACTGTTTTTGTGGGTTTTTTTTCTTACTACTTCAAGGCCTAGGAAGACTAAATTAGCATTTCTAACCTTTACAATAGTTTCATATATTGCTGGATCTCAGCACTAACAGGAACTGTTTTATCTGCACTTATCCATGTTTCAGCAGGATGAAACAGAATTGTTCACTAACCTGTAGTGCTCACCATGTACTTCCACTTCACCACGTATGTGTCTCCCTCATGGAACTGTCCTATGCTTTGTTTAGGCAGTCTACTATAATCAAACTCCAGGATGTGCCAGACATCCACAGATGCAGTGATAATTTCAAACTGCCTCCCATCTTCTCCTTCTACAAGTCCATAGCCCCGGCCAATATTCATTCCATCCAGAACTGTGCCTACAGCAGTTTGAGGCACAGGTACCATTAGCATGACATCATATGGTTTAGAATCAGATTTGGATTCTTCCTGCGAAAAACACAGAACAGATTTCTTTGAGCATAGCCTTTCCCCCCTTCCCATACCACACAGCTCCATTGAATATTTTGACTCCTACATATTTCAGTGGTTTCAATCTTGTCATCACCTGATGCCTTGTCAAAGCCACCTTGTCAGTCTTCACTGACTTGCTCAGCACTAATAAAGAACACTTCTGTGGCTTCACACTATAGCTGGTGATGTTCTGACCCTCAGGTCAAAGCCCACAAGATAAAGAAGTGCTCTGCATCCTAAAGAACAAGCTTCCCTGGCTTCCATCCCAGCTAGGCCATCTAGTTTGAAATACCTAGCATGCTTATTAAATGCACCTTCTGATGAAGGGATTCACTAGAATTCTTCTCATTGAGTTTCTTCAGCTCTGTCCAATCAAGGAATTTTTCTTTGAACAGTATGGTCTCATTATGTTCTGTGAGCCTGCCAAACACAGCCCAATCTGGACGTCCTTGTCCCTTTCTGTACAAGGCAATATAAGAAAAAGAATCAAATTTAACACTGAAAGAAGGGAAAGAAACCAATGTTTCTGAAATAAGACTAAACTTGAATTTTGGTACCTGGGTATGAGGGGATTGCATTCTCCTGGGTCCAGAGGATTTATGTCACAATTTGAGTAGTCGAAGGTGCCATTCCACAAGTGTTTTGCCAGCTGGAATGCTACTTTTCTTTGTGCTAAAGTAACTTCCTTTCCATGCCAGACATACACTTCACTGCCAAAATCAAATACGAGCACCTGGAAAACAAATAGAAAAAAACAAACCCAAAAAATCATTTGAGTAACACACCATCAAGTTAGGTAATGCCCTGATCCTCCAGTTTCCTGGTGCCACAAGCTGACAGTGTGTTTAACTCAAGCTCCTCCAAGTATCAGAGTATCTACAGTGATACTAACAGCTAGCATTATAATGAAAGTAAGGTCAGGGCAGTGGTATGCACCATGGCAGTTAGAAATTGAGAATGACTGGAACTAAGTATTGGGGATGCTATGAGGTGTATCCTTAGGTGGTAGCTAAGTTGCTAGCAGACCAGAGAGCTGTGGCAAGAACTGATTCTGTTCTGTGACCAAATGCTATCTGACTACAGCAACTTTCCCTAAGGTTTACACCTATGCTTTTCCTGCAACAGGGAAATGCTGACAGAACATACAGCCTGGGTAACTGGCTCAGCCAATAACCAGCAACGTCAGTACATTCAATAAAATGAATCTTGTCTTTATTTTGGACATCTGCTCCGAGTTGTACTTAAGTAAATGCTACCAAAGTGCTACTTGTTTTGTACTTCACGACTTCAGAGTGAAAGGAGCCACTGTTGACTAAAAGATTAACATTTCCTATAACAGTATTTCACTTTAAAGATATGATCAGATTTTTGAAGACCTGCAGCAAGCTCTATACAACAATATATTCAGAAGCTTTTCCCAAGCACAGAGGAGCCCATTTTCAGCGAACATCTCCATGAGCATTTGCAGTCATATCAGCTGTCTGTTCCTGCACTTACCACAGGAGCAGTAAGTGGCACGATACCTCTTTTGGTTGTAGCAGGGTACATTTTGGCATCTTTCCCCAGTAGTCATCTTCAGGAATGAGTTTATCTTCTACAAGACGGTAAATGCAATTAGTTTCTATTATGGCAGCTTCATACATTTCATCCTCTTCAGGTCTTCCAGCAGCTTAAGGAAAAGATTGTCCAAAATAATTAATTATTTTTTTTTTGTAGAGAGAACCAACTCAATTATTTTACTGTGATAAAATATGACATAATGTAAACATGAGAATGCTTACACTGGTAATTTGCTTGGCCACCAAGGAGTTTCCAGAAGTCTTTGGCTGCATGGGTATGGGTGTTTATTCCTTCTTCTATAGTCTGTATATAAGAAGCTCTACAGCCAAGTTCCCTCTTTGTCTGAATCAAAGTTGCAAGTTCTGAAGCCTAAAAGATTAACAGTTATCTGAACAGGGTTGCATAAGTCTTAGGCATACTTGTGCATTCTGAGAGAAGGCAAAAGTAGATATTTGGTTGCACCAAATAAGAGATACACCAAATAAACAGATTCTAGAGAAAAAGTTACAGAAATACATTCATTCTTTCATTTGCCTTAAAACGAGGCTTGATCTTAACAAGAATAGAAATAAAAAGGACATCCTGCAATACAGACTATTTTTTGTTTGCGTGCAAATCCATTTCCTGAGGATATCCTCTTTTCTCTCACAGATTTGCAACCTACACATGTCTACACCAGCTTTCATTCAGTGCACAGTGCTAAAACATATTTACGGGAAACTTGCATAGCTACCCATTGCTGACTTTCAGCTGCATACAACCTTACAAGACAAGTGGCACCAAGGCTCATTTACATCAAAGATGTTCATGCTGTGTCAGATCTAAAAAAAATTAAAAAATGAACTAGTACTAACCTTTGCTTTTTCTATGACATTTGCAAACTCTCCTACCCACAAGAAACAGAGGTGTGGAGTTAACAATAGGAAACAGTCTCCACTGTTCAGTGATGAGGCCCTTGGTTCAACTAATCTTGTTTGAACATGTCTTCTTCCTAAAGATAAACCAAAGCTAATTATATTCTCATGAATACTGCCATCAAATGCCAAGATCTAATCATTTTGAATGAAAGACAAACAAACCCCGCACAGTAAGCAAAATACATGGAAAAAGTCTGTTAAATAAGAATGAAAGAATATAATGGTGGAAGTAGGATTTACTTACAGGAAGCAAAATTTGTTGCCTCCTATCAACTAATATTATTTCCCATTCTTCCTTTAACAACTTTATGTTCTATGGAAAGAAATCAGTTAAATAGATGGCAGAGAAACAGCCAAATTCTAGGATCACTTGTATGCACTCAAGAAGGCATGGCACAGTCTGTAGTCAGTAAAAAGTTTTGTGAGTTTTAGCCCAAGTAGCTATTATTTTGAAGAATCAGATACATTACTATGATACAGAATCATAGAATGGCCTGGGTTGTAAAGAACCACAATGATCATCTAGTTCCAACCCCCCTGCTGTATGTGTAGGGTCGCCAACCACCAGACCAGGCTGCCCAGAGCCACAGCCAGCCTGGCCTTGAATGCCTCCAGGGATGGGGCATCCACAACAGGGCAATCTGTTCCAGTGCTTCACCACCCTCTGGGTGAAAAACTTCCTGCTAATATCTAACCTAAATCTCCCCTGGCTTAGTTTAAAACCATTCCTCCTTGTCCTGTCACTATTAACCCATGTAAACAGTCATTTCCCCTCCTGTTTATACACTCCCTTCAAGTAATGGAAGGCCACAATGAGGTCTCCCTGGAGCCTTCTCTTCTCCAAGCTAAACAAGCCCAGTTTTCTCAACCTTTCCTCAGAGGAGAGGTGCTACAGCTCTCTGATCATCTTGGTGGCCATTCTCCTCTGGAGCTGTTCCAAGAGCTCCACATCTTCCCTGTACTGGGGGCCCCACGCCTGGATGCAGTACTGCAGATGGGGCCTGACGAGAGCTCAGTAGAGGAGGACAATCACCTGCCTCTCCCTGCTGGCCAGCCCTTTTTTAATGCAGCTCAGAACACAGTTGGCCTTCCAGGCTGCAAGCGCACACTGCTGGCTCATGTCCAGCTTCTCGTCCACCTGGACCCCCAAACCCTTCTCCGCAGGGCTGCTCACAAGTAGTTCTTCCCCCAGTCTATATAAATACTTGGGACTGCCCCAGACGAAATTCAAGGCCCTGTACTTGGCTTTGTTGAACCCCCTTAGGTTCACATGGGCCCACTTCACCAGCCTGTCCAGGTCCATCTGGATGGCTTCCCTTCCTTCCAGTGTACAAACTGCACTGCTCACCTTAGTCTTGTCTGCAAACTTGCTGAGGGTTCAGTTGCCAACTTGCCAACCAGTTCTTAATCCATCAAACAGTCCATCCTTCAAATCCATTCCTCTCCAATTCAGAGAGAAGGATGTGGTGAGGGACCATGTCAAAGGCTTTACAGAAGTTCAGGTAGATGACATCCACCACCATTCCCCCGTCCTCCGATGGTGTCACTCCATCATACAAGGCCACCAGACTGATCAGACACGATCTGCCCTTGGTGAAGCCATGCTGGCCATCTCGGATCACTGTATGTGCCTTAACATGGTAACCATGAGGATCTGCTCCAAGATCTTCCCAGGCACAAAGGTGAAGCTCACCAGGCTGTATTCCCCAGGTCTTCCTTTCTCCCTTTCTTAAAAATGGGAGTAAAATTTCCCCTTTTCCAGTCACTGGTGATTTCACCCAACAGCCATGATTTTTCAAATATGTTAGAGAGTGGGTCAGCAACCACATCAGCCATCTCTCTCAGAACCCTGGGATACATATCACCTGGCCCCATGGATTTATATACATTCAGTTTCATGAGGAGGTCTCAGACTTGTTCCACTGCTACAGTGGGATGGAGTCTGCTCCTCTGACCCACACCTAGAGCTTCAGGGTCCTGGCAAACATGGGGAGCCTGATCACCAGTGAAGACTTGAGGGAAAGCACTTATTGAGCACCTCAGTTTTTTCCATGCCTGAGGAAGCCAGTTCTCCATCCTCATTTATCAGAGGGGGAACACTCTCCTTGGTATGTTTCCTCCTGTTTATGTAGGACCCCTTTGTGTAATTTTTCACATCCCTTGCCAAGTCCAGCTCCATCTACACCTTGGCTTTCCTGATCTTATCCCTATACATGCAGACAATGTTCCTGTATTCCTCCCAGGCTACACAGCCTTGCTTCTACTTATAGTACATTCCTCTTTTCCCCCAGTTTAAGCTGCAGATCCTTGCTCAGCGATGCCAGTTGCCTGCCTGCTCTTCTCGACTTCTTCTGCATGTGGAGGAAGTGGAAGGAAGTGGAGCAAGAACACCATCAAGGCATTTCCAAGCTATGCTAAACACTAAAAGAACTAGAAGGCAGTTCAAAGATTTCCACAGAAGGCTACAATTCCTGAAACATTCTGTCTTCTCCTTAGAAAAGACACATCAGTGATGAAAATGCAAACCTATTTGAAAGGGTTTTCATTTGTTGCACAGTTCTCACTATTCTTAGCTTTTAGGCATAAATCTTGAGCTGCGCACCTCCTAGAAACTAAGCATTCAGCCATAACAGCAACTCCCACCCACTGCAATCAGCTTAATATATACAGACAATGAATGCAGTTCTAGCATACCTTTAATTTGCAGCAGCATTAACTTCTTGTATGGCACAGCACTGTTGTTAGAATTTTGCTCTGTTAGGTTAACACTCCGCAGACTAACGTTGCTGAAGTTCTCCTTGCTTGCCAAACCAGCAAGTGCGACTTCTGAGAAATTTGAGTTTGCAGACACTTTTACATTAAAAACAAACAAAACAAAACAAAGTTGGATAAAAAACACATGCAAATGAGGATAAATTATATTCAAATAGCTTCAGTTATTGCATTAAAAAAATGTTTTCTCAAATGTTTGCAATTTTCCCCTCCTCAACAGCAACAGCAAAAACAGGCTGAACTTAGATTAATTGCTACCATAAAAGCTTTGTGGGTTTACCAGTACCTAAAGTTTCTAAATATCATCACAGACTAAACAATTTGCATTGGAATTATAAACTTCGGTGGATACACCAGCGTTAGTGTTATCTGGTGTGTTATGAAGTATTGTGTAGATCCTCAGTGCCATAAACATGATTAATTGTGAAAGAGAGCCAAGTAGTCAACGCTAATGAACTGAAATTCACTTCAGATTTGTCTCAGCCAGTGTGATACAACAGCAATCTGCATTTCAAAGTCCTATTCATTTTTTATTGTACAGTTCAAGCCTTAAATGCTTTGCTGCTTTTGCTTATTTCTCTACCAAAGACAAAGCAGTTTATGAATTTATAATTCATGGAAATGCTTCCCATGAAATGCAATAAAATATTAGACACACAATTAGTCTTTCATCAATACAGGCAATACTTAAGAGATGACCTCCCTTTATTCAAACATAATAAAGAAAACTGATACCCCAAATGTTAGAAGTGGCTTGACTAATCTTTGAGCAAATTTTACAGTGATTTGTCTTGCTGTCAAGTCTGGTTATCAGGAGAAAGCAATGTCATAAGCAAAACACAAAACCCTGCTACAGAGCACAGATCCTTAATAGAAATTAACCTGGCTAGTTCCAGGTTGAGAAAAACCAAGGACCCAAAACTGAGGCTAGTATTCCTGAACATTTATCTATTCTTCCCAGCTCCCTCCAGCCCCTGTAGCATATTGTCAGATTTGCTTTGCTTGATCTCCTGTCCTCACCTGCAAGTACAACTGCTCTACCTCTGCACAAGGTGAGTGCTAACAATAAATAAATACACAGAGGAAGATGCTGCAAGTAGTGTTCCCTGAGGAAGTCAGGTGAACTCTTTTTTCCAAGCCTCCTCGGCCAATCTACGTTCAGTCTTATACCTTAACCAATCTGTGGTCTTTTGGAGAATATCTATTTTTTCAGTTGTGGTTTTTGCTTTTTGTTTAGTTTTGGTTTGAATTAAACTAGCAAGACAGTGGCTTCCATAAACCACCTTGTTAACTTACTTTTTTCTACTTTCATTCGCTTTGACTCCATGAAGGCAACATTCAGCCTTTGTTCAGTGTACTCATGAAGAATATCTTCTCTTGCTGCCAGCATTTTCAGGGGGTTTCTGGAGGACTGAACCCTGCGCATAGGCCTTACTGCACGTTTGTGCTCTGCTACAGAGGATATTAACCTGAAAAAACAAGCAGCGTTTAATATTATTGGTTGATAACTGATAAATCGTAAGAGTTTAATGACAAGAGATTTGCTTGATTTAGAGTATGACATTTGTGAGGAAACCAGAATTAGTTCACTGATCCAGGCAGAAGGCTGGATTTAGAAAAATGTAGTGGAAACAGACATGTCCTGTACAACACTATCTACAAGATAACTTAAAGCCGAACATTTTGACCACCATTCCTATTTCTGCATTCCAAGCAGTGAAAAGAGTAATTCTTACTTTGGTGCATAAGGATCAAAGATGGCATCAAAGTCCTCATCAAGGTCCAAAGGCACTGAGGAGGAAGGGAAATCCACATGGCGGTAAAATTTGGAAAATGTTTCATCATCATCCAACTTCATCACTTCTTTCACAGATTTTCCTGTAACTGTCAGCACTGTCTCTTGCATTCCAGCAACTGTAGGCAAAAAAAAACAAAAACAAAAAAACAGCCCACCCAATAAATAATCACACTAGATTCTAACTCAGTAAGGGGTAAATATGACTTGCTGTGGTTTTAGTTTGGTTCTCACTGACTGATGGAATTTGAAGGAAACACAATAGAAGTGTCTCTTGAAAAATAAATGATTAAAAGGAGCATACCTTACTCATATACAATAATCCCTGTTAAAAAATGGTTGGGAAACATGGCCAAAACAAAATTAGGCGCTATTAAAAATGAGTTATTTTGGTAGGAGGATATATGTGCATTTTATCGTCTTGTATATTCTGTCTTCCTCCAACCAAATAACTCCTTCCCTTCCAAAAATCTCCTGGAGCCTCAAGTACAAAATCAATTCTTGAGATTATTGAGTCTAAAGCAATCATTCCACTGTGCTACTGCCTCTGCTGGTGAAATGTAAATACATTTATTTTTGCTATTTGAAACTCTACCATTCACAAAAGAATTTTTGTTTTTACAACACTGAAGATTAATATATGAGATGGAAACACAGCTCACATAAGCACAACTCAAATTAGATCAGTAAGTTCAACAACATTTGAAGCTGTCTCATTGCATACCTTCAGTATGATCCAGAGTGACTTGAGAACATGGATTTAAAGAATTTTGCTCACAACAAGAGCAAATAGGAATAATAAAGAGTGGTTTTTGGTTTGCTTTTTTTTTTTTTTTTTTTGCAGTTGTGATTTATTTTGCTGTATATATATATAATGTATCAGCGTAAGGACTAGAAGTACTTTAAGTGATTTAGTGAAGTCAGAATGAACACATTGCCTTCTTTGGTAACTACTGACCTTTGTTATTCAGCCTTCCCAAGAATGACTCCAGCTTGTCAAGCTTCATATCTGATTCCAATTGCATATCAGGCCTAGCTTCAATTTCTAAGCAAAACAGAATGCAGAACTTGTTTAGTGATAGGAAGTTTAAAAAAAAAAATTCCTGGACTTATTTCAGCCATGTCTATTCCTTACCTTCCAAAGGCTTTGTAACCGGAGTGGTAGACTTCTGCCTGTTACTGTAAGGGGATGCTACTGGTGTTAGTGCACTCGGAGAAGCTAGTCCTGCATAAGAACAGAGAATATCAAAAACACCATCCCATCTTATCCCACATCTCCAACAGTGATGACAGGAGGTGAGCTATTTAGGGAAAGCAGATGGGCCTCGCCATTTCCTATGGTCCCTCATCCTATTGCAGCCTCCACCACTGCTGTATCAGGGATGCTGGAGTGCGCTCTTTTTGAAGCATCACTTGGTGTACATTTTAGACTCAAGTTCTACTCCAGGCTACGTGTGAGAAATACACAACTGCTTTTGTTCAAAAGATACAGAAATGGCAGTGAAACCTTCCAGACCTTGGTGTGGTGTCTCCCGTCCCCTTTTAAATCAAAACCCAGTCTTAATAGATCTATGAGAATGCATCTGACTTGTGAATACAGTCTGTAGATTAAACAGTAATTTTTGGGCATGGTTGTTTTTTCTTGTGTGTGATTGAGGGGCTTATTTTTTTGTGTGTGTGTTGTTGTTTTTAAGGACACACAGAAATACAAGTGGAAATGGATGCCCTCACCATGTAAAGCAAGCAGTCTACCCACTGAATTTGTACTGTCCTCCCTTCTGTTCATTTTTATTATCATGAAATTATAATTATCATGAAATAATCACGAACCAATTTATTTCGGACTCAGAAGAAAAAAATGAATGCTTTGTTCTTTTGATATGAATCCACTGACACAGTAAAAGAAATGGCACACTACCAATTTAGTGTTTTTGATTAGGTGGAAAAGCATATTGTATCAAATAATTCTGTCAATTAACCATTGCTGCCTAGGTTTCCAGTGATGGAGGGAAATGATACTTTAAGCCTTCCTCTAATGCCTACTTTTCACCTAGCCATAGCTTACTAATTAGAGAGCCACATAAATTTCAATCCTTAGTTGTTTTGATCAGATAAACTAGCGCTGTACTGAGAGAATATACACTATGTTTCCACTGCCTTTAATTCAAATCCTAACAAGTCTTAACTGCTAAACACCAAGATAGATTTATTATATAATGCAGTAGCTTTTCCACAAACACTGTTTTTCCCTTCTACCTAAGAGATTCAATTTTTCAGCAAGTCAGTTTGTAATGCCTTCAGCAAGACATATTTGAGAGGACACAGTTTTTAAGCAGTTCTAACAGGACTTAATCCACAAGACTACAAGATCTACTTCATGTGTTAGTCAAGAATCACCTTCCAATTAAGGAATTTAAAATTTCAAGCTGTAAGAATCAATTAAAATACAGCATCTGTGCACATGTATATAACAAGGATCTAATTTTGCAGTGCTTTCTCATCATCCCTTAAATTAAAAACCCATCATGATAATTTCCTCTTCTTGGCAACAAAAATAGCACACATCTGCATAAAATCTCATTTGGGCTACTTTTATTGATGTCGCTGTCACAAGAATGCCTTTCTTCTCCACAAGACAGATCACAGCACCTAAAGAGATCCTTTCTGGGTATTTTTCACTTCCCATTAAGGGTGAACGTTATCACCTTCCCTTCCTTTCCAAAGACCAATTATTTATTTAATTTTTTTTAGGTAAAATAAAATCTCAGCCAGCAGTCTATGGGCAACTGACCACTTTTTCTCAGTGACCCACCAAAATAGGTTAGTCTTGAAACAAACAGCAGTCAGTTATCAAAGCAAAACACAAAACAGTGTAAGCAGCAGCTAAAGTACTCTGCTAATAAATGAAATTCTTAATACAATCTGTTTGTTTTCCAACAGAATATGGTCTGGATTGTAAATGGAGTTGTTCCCTTTTGCAGTACCTCCACCATGAATTTTGCCAGCTTCTTGTCATGGAACAGATTTTAGTATTCTCTGACTACAAGAGATCAGTTTAGGCACCTTCTTCCAAAACTATCACCTTCCCAGGCCCAGTGCATGAACAGCTGTGTTTCTACCATGGATAACCCTCACATATTTCTTTCCACTTCTGGAGAATGGCTGCATCTGGAAACAGAGTCTGGCTGAATTCAAGAGATCCCAAAAATGTCAGCATTGCTCCCATGTCATTTCTACTCCCAGATTCTATGCAAAAATATGTTCACTGATTTCTTCAGCCAAGTTGTTGTCTGAAACAGCAACCATAAAAATAACATGTGTTTCCTACATATTCCCAGTGACCCTCGGAGTGGGGAAAGTGCCAGCAACACCAAGATTTCACAACTTTTCCACAGAAACAGCACCTGGGTTTTTAAACAATAAATAAATAAGAAAGGATAATCCAACTGTGCCCTTTGGATTGCATCGGACAGAAAGATGAAGCACATGAATGTTGAAGTGATTGATGATCACCAGTCGGACAGATCCCTGTTGTAACTGGATGGTAGTGCAACAGGGCAGAACAAAACAGATCAGTACTGGGAGCCACAAGAAGCTCAAGAGAATGCCCTTATGACACCATATTCGGTTGAATATAAACAGTCCTCCTCTTGCTAAACATGGATACTGTTTCTGCTTAACTTTAGCCTGACTTTATTTTGACTAGACAGATAAGCAGTGGCTTGTTTATATTGGGATCATTTCATCACTGACCTTTTTTTACCATTCGACCAGCTACAGTGAACTGCGTGGAGTCATTTGCTGCGCCTTTTCCCCTGGACTTCCAGGCTTCTTCTCGAGCTGTGATCAGGTGTTTTCTTTCTTCTATAGTCATTTGACTCTCCTGATTATCTGCTATCCTCTGCTTTTTCGGGGGGCAGAGAGAAAAAGGATGTTTAAAAATAAGTAACCGATCAGGATATAACAAAAGACCGGGTCCCTTGCCCTCTGAAGAGACAGGAGGACTAACAAGGTACTGAAGGAAAGTCACAGATTCAGCTTAGTGACCCTGGCCCTGACAAGCTTCACTGTTTCGCTGCTTCTTACACTGAGATGATAAGGTTTCAATCTATGCATTTTGATTTTTTATTGAAACTACCAGCCAAGGCAAAGCAAACCAAGCCACTTACTCTGGATATTCTTCCAGATCTTGTTCTCTTCAAATGTTACTTGCTACACTACTGAGATCATGAATTGAACTTTCAACAGACGTTTTCAAGTGTAAATTTGCAGGGGGCACTGGGAATAACAATTAAGAAAACGTAACCTCAGTAGTTCGTCATTTCTGAAAAAGTAACTCAATTTTCCAGGCAGGATTAGCAGGCTTATTGCTCCAGAGGCTGCTCACTGTAGGCCCTATGTCAGCTTGCTCCTATCAGTATTCTTCCAATGACTGTGATCATTCCTTCCCCTGCCATCCCCCAGACTTATTTTGTGGAGGTCACCTTTAGCTTTCCTTGCCTTCTTTAGAGAGTAGCACCCACCAGCTTGAGTGACTGAAAGCAGCCAAAAGCACTAAGCATCTTAGTGCCTTCCTAATACAAAGGACAGATGAAGGCACATCGAATTGGAAGGAATTTACATAATCAGCTAGAGCCAGGTTTGGCTAAAGAAATATTGCTTCAATGCACTAAGCTTAAAAGTGTAGCAACATTTCAGGATTATTCTGCATGGAAATCAAGTATGAAAGTTCTTTTAGTGCATGGGGCTGTCAGTACTAGAATTACTTCCAAGCTGTGTGCTGTTCAGCATTTTTCTTCACAAGTTAACGTAAGAACTGAAAACCACATGAAAATTAAAAGCTAGTGCTTTAGCATAGCACACTACTAACTACATAGAATTTTAAATTAATAGGAATCCAATTGTGAATATGAGGTAAACTCTCTTCTTGAGGTCAAGATGCAAGGAAGGGATATAAACCCAGTTGATCTTATTTATTTTCTTTAAATCAACAGCACTGAAGAAATCAGTCCAGGGTTACTACTCTGTATAGAATTATATAAGAGCTATTCCAACTATAGAAGATGCAGTGAAATAAGATTTTCTTACACCTGTCAGCATGTACTATTAATAACATGTATCAGTCAGAAGAATAAAGACAAATGCAATGGCTGTACAAGGACTAGCACGGGCAAACTCTCCAGTCCTTCCTCTAGATCCATGCAACTCCACAGCCTTCTGCAGTAATGTTTGCTCCCAATTTATCAAGGGAGCACAGTCACCACCTCAACTGCAGGGTCATGATAACCAGAGTAAAACACACTGGATTTTTCCCAGACCTCCAAATTGTTCCACAGAAATAACAAAATGGAAGTCTACTCAAGTATTTCCTCCTCTTCTGTAAAAGCCTCTAAATACTTTCAATAGAAACAGTGAAAGCAATCTCTGCTTGCTTTCCTGAATCTTTTCCCATTCCAATGCTGGAAGCACAGCCACCTCTGGGATGAGCAGCTGGTAGAAGAAAATGACAGTAACATACTACCAAAGATCTGGGCAGGAAATTAATATATCCCTAATGAAACCACAAGTGAAATTTCATACACAAAACAAGTACTTTTAACTTAGTGAATATGAATAAGTTTTTGATTACAACATGTGGGGAAGCAAGGAAGAGACAAGAAGATGGAAGATGTAATCACATGGATTCTTTCATATGTTGGGTTTTTCCCCAACCTCTAACAATAGGAGGCTTAATTTTAATTTCATCTCCAGGGAATACATTAAGTTTCAAAGTGTACAGAGCCACTGGACGTTCTGAAGGCACAAACCCAGAATGCATTTGCATTAGTCACTGAACACACAAACTGTAAGAAAGATCATGACCAACTCTAGAGCAGTGTCAAAGAACAAAAGAGTACGTAGCTCCAACAGCATAAACAAACTTCTGTCAATAGAAGATTTCACGTTATTCCTTTGTGCAAAACATCTCTGGATTTCCTAGAAATCGGACAGGTTGTGTATTACAAAGGCTTCAGAATAATTTCGTATCAGGTCTCTCCCTAATGCAAAAAGACTCCCATCTTTCTTTATTAATGAACTGAAAACCAATGGTAAGCTGAATAGACAGTAAGGCATTCTTAGGCTATGTAACTTGCCATAATAATGCTGGTGAAAAACAAAAGCATATGCGGCGCCTAAAAGGATGAACAATTTTCTCTAGCAGGAAAACTAGTATGAGCCAACAGAACTGTCCATCGAAATTTCGTAACATGCACGCATGGTAATTAGTAGTAGTTTAAAAAGCTTTCACAATTGCCAAAGGGCAGCATTCCCAAAGAAGTGAGTTGGCTAAACCACATTCTGCTTGGGGGGAAAATATTGTGAGAAATACAAAACTTGTCAGTCTTTAAAGTGCAAGTTTTAATTCCAAGTGGGGAAATAAATAACTACATGAAGATATAAAATAAAGATCTCAAATGCAAAAATGTGACCTTTTGGTAAAGTACTTTGGTACTTTTGGTAAAGAGCCCATTCTAATTTGTACTGAAAGATACATCTGTGTTTTCGTTGATGCCTCTTCTTTCAGACAAATGACAAAACCCTAAAATCAAGTGAAAATACAAAAAAGGTCAGAAGAACTGGCACCCAACAAGAAGAAATAACTGGGACAGGAGATGCTTCAAGCATAAGTACCGTTTTTTTCTAAGTTAAAAAATAAAATTCAAACAAACAATCAAATTAAACAAAATTTAAACAATAAAATTGTCCAACCAAAATGGACAATAGACAGCATTGATAAAACCTTACATGGGGACAGCATTTAGAAGAAGCAGAACTGAAGCACATAAGCACGGGCCACATAAGCTGTGTTTTGTTCCAGACAATCATGGCAAGATTGCTGTTAGACAATCAATAAAGAATCAAAACACAGTTGCATAATTAATGCCATTCCACATGGCATTATGGAAAACAGGTTTAATCAGAATGGTAAGTTTGATGAGATCAAGTATGATTAAATATGTTAACAGTTACTTCTGATTTTTTTAATATATTTGACTTAATCACAGATGACATTCTGAGCTTTTTTTTGGGCGCTATAAAAATGCAGCTCACTAGTTAACTGACAGAAAAAAATATTCCGAACAGAACACAGCCATGCAGTGATCTGAATCATCCCAACCCTGACTGAGATTATTCCATGCAGGTGGAGAAAATCCACAGTTCTGCTGAGAACCACCTCAGGAAAACACCAACACACAGAGAGAAGAGAGGGCTGGGTAATCATGAAAAAGAAGTAATCACATACATTTTTAAAAAGGCTATAAAAAAAAGAAAAAAACAACTGGAAAATCAGGCTTCTAAGAGCAGTTATCAGTTGAAAAGAGAATCAATTAAAAAAAAAAAAAAAAGGAAAAAAATAGGCCAATTAGAAATACAGAAAAAGAGAAGAAAAAATTCCCATGGAACAGTAGTTCTGAACAGATAATTAACTGAAAAAGGGATGACATACACAGGTAGCTAAGAGCTGGTATAATCTGTCATTACTTGTATAAACAAGAAGCTGGGGAGAGGAGGAAGATGGTGATATTGAAACCTTTATTGAAATAGCTCGTCTATTTCTAGCATCTACATGTCTATCTGGGACATTGATAGCTTTGGAAGCTTTTCTTGCCCACTGCTTGCGAGGCTAGCTGATGATACTAGTCTCTTCTAGCAAGGCAACATTTCTTGAGAGCATGCACTGGCACTCCACCTGTAGCACCAATTTAGGCTAAGGAAGGGATCACATCTATGCAATGTACTGTTTTGCATCCCACAATTTTTTAGCCTAAGTAGCACCACGTTAGGTCACAGCGTCACAGTTCAAAATGGTCTGAAGTGGTCTATGAGCCTGCTTTTTTTTCCCTTTATTTTAAAAAGTTTTTTTTTTTTTTTTTTTTTTTTGGTAATATGCAAGAAATACACGAATTGACAGTTTTCTATGTTGAGGACCATGATGGCCCCTAGCTGTAGGAGTCTAAAACTAAGAATGGGTGCTAAAAATGGATTTTTCAAAGGGAAGATCCACTTAAAACCAGTGTCATGAACTATTTAAAGAAGTATTCCAAGAAGTATCTGCCTTACAACACAGATAATTTCTCTGGTTTGGAGGCAACTGTTCCTCTTTTAGGGCAGCTGAGATGAACAGCCACTGAAGGACCTCCTCTCTCCCCTGATGACTGCAGGGATACCAGGGTTATTAAGTTAGAAGATAAATTTACGTTCTCAATATATAGAGTGAGTGAACTCTCACAACAGAATGAATAGGTTATCTTAAGTCAAACAGTAATAAAATTGTACTAAATCCAGAACTTAAAGAAGGGAGGCAAACCCAATGATTTTCAGTTGATAGCCCCAAACCTACTTTTTAATTAGAAAGTTCAGAGTAAAAGATAATCCTCAGAAAGTGGCACTGAAAGTGAGCGTGGGAACGGCATATGTCAGTAGTCAAAATATTTGAACATAGTTACAGTAATCTCTACTGTAATCATAATCCTCTGCTGTAGCAGTGAACCACCATCCTATGCATTCATTACCATTATGCATGCTAGCCAGAATGCTCCTGACACATCCCATGTGCTGTGTTCAGAGGGGAATGGAGAACAGTGCATTGCTTGTAGAACTACAGCCACATATCTGAGCTGAGAGGCAAGGCAATAAAGCAGAAATAGGCTTGCAGATCTATCAGGACCTGTCTTGATAGATCTATCAAGTCTTTCCACTCAGTTCTCCTTGTTTTCTTGTGTTCAGCTTGTTTCCTTGCCCGCTCCTGACTTTATTGTTTTCACCTCTCATCACATGACACAAGTGCTGTTTGCTCAATTAGAGATCTGGTATTCTACTTCTGCTCCAAGACAACTTCATTATGTAGTTCTAACTGAATAAAGCAGGTTGTTTCACATTTCTTGTTATCTATTAATTCTTCCTAAGTAAATTCTTCCAGTCATTTCTGATGAGTTTGCAAAGATGTATGCATGATTTTGCCGAAAACTTCAGAGGAAGTTTTACTGTTTACTGTTGCAGCAGCAGATGTCTATTCCCAAGCAAACACAGTTAACTTTGTTATCACAAGTTGCTTTGGGAACATGCATCTTAGACCTGAACGTAATTTTCTGTCTTACTTCTCACTTTGTTAATTAATTAGGAAGTCTGTACAGCATTTCACCTTCAATCTCCAAGGATGCCGTTGAGCAGAGAGCTTGATTCTTTCAAGCTAGTACTACAGACCTTAGGAAAGAGAGAAAAGCAAGGGGATGGGACAGTCAGAGAATAGAGGCAGTATGTGCCAAGGCAAAAATCCTTCAGACATGGAATAGGAAAAAAAAAGCATTAGAAGTCACCTCCAAACAGAAGCAGCTTGCTCTGCACAGTTAATGAATTAGACTGTTTAGACTTTTACAGTTGTATATGCACATTTCTCACAGACAGGGCACATGGCATTTTATTCTGAAATAAATGCTGTGCAGTTGCATGCTGTTCATTTTCTATGTTTTGTGTTTTTTTTTTTTTTATAAACAAGTGACAAGTTTTCTGTATTGTAATTAATGCAATAGCACCTCCTTCATTTCATTTCTTATTCATGCAGTCTAACAGATAATGAACTTTTAGAAAACTAGTCATAAGGGAAACAATAGCAGAATGTGTCAGTAGCAGACATATTGAAGAAGGGTACACACTGCAGTGGTACAATGCTATGTTTCTTTAGAGCAACCTTTGTTAAGTTGGTTAATCAACTAAGAGGACTGCTAATTCCCTCTATTAAAAAAAAGTCAGAATGAGTCCAATGGACATTGCTGAGCATTTGAACTGTGCAGACTTTTGCTCACCTGATTAATAGGTAGAAAAGGATGAAATTTATGGACAGCAGGTATAACAGGAGAGTAAGTAGAAGCATATACAGGTTCCTATGACAAGGACAGAAGCAAAGTGAAGGAATTAGAGAAGAACTGAACTGCCAGAGATGGGGATGGGGGAAAAGCACTCCTCTTCCCCCAAGTTCTTGAAGTAAATTAAATCTCAATCTTTAATCTTCTAGAAGCATCTTCCCTACCAGGAAGCTAGAGATCAAAAAATGTTTTCATAATACAACAGCATGTTTATCAGAGCCAATCCATGCAAGAATTAAACAAGTTAGTAACAACATCACTACAACTCAACACAAAACTAAACAGCACAGCCAGGAGATAAAAATGACCTATGTATGAAAAGCGTGTGTCTCTGCTTCATGCACCATTAAAATGATAAACCATGTCAACCATGATGGGAATCATTCTGCTGCAAGTTTAATCATACCCGTTAAATAACAAGCCACTTATTTTGAGGATAGAGGAAGGAATACTTAGTGAAACTAAGATACTCAAAAACCATCTGGAGGGAACTGCTAAGCCCATGGCACCTGGCAAAGGTGGGTTCACCATTCCAAGCAAAGACTACAAATAAGCCCTGCCTCAGAGCTGGTCTTACTCAAAGCTGATTAGGCACAGCTTTACCATCAATAATTATTCTTCCTTTCAGTAGGCTAAAGCAAATACAGAACAGTGCACAGAATGCAGGCAATCGTAGTTCATTAGAGTGGCCTGAAATGAAGCCTAACCACAAGAGCCTCAGCTTTGATTAGCACTGGATGCAAGTACTTGGATGCCACATCTGAAATAGACAAAACTATTACCACAGTAGGAGACCAATAGTTTGTCTAAAGGTCGATTTTTAGCAGCCTACCCCGGTAAGATTTTTATACTCCTTATCTGTTCAGTCCCAGCCTTTAACACCAGTACCAAGATGCAGTATGAGCTTGCCATAAGAATTAAGTGCATTTGAAATTTATTCACTGCTTTAATGTTACTGCAATACAGCTGGTAATCACATTAATCAGGGTCTCCATTAAAGCCAGCCAACAAGAGGAAGGAATTTTCATTCCAGTAAACCTCATTGTTTTGATACTAAGGAAAGATTTTGAAGTTTGTTAATTTTTCTACACGAGGAAAAAAAGAAGTCTTCCACCAACTTAAGAAGAGGAATACAAACATAAAATCCAAAAATTTTTTTTCCAAATAAAATGCATTTCTTTCCTACACTACAGTTGTTCCTCTGATGTTAGAGCTATTCTTTAAATTCTCCAAGGATGTTTTATTGTACATGTAAGTCATTTATGAAGTCTCACAGCTTCCAACAAGTTTTCCTCAAATATGCAGCAATCATCAAAACAAGATGCTAGATCTCCATGTAAATCTCAATTGTTTTTTCCTAAATCTGTCTCTCTGAATTAAAAACTTATTATTTTATTTCCTACTTTATATTGCTGTCAGCTTTTCCATTAATTTCATGGCTTTTCTAAGTTTAGTCTACGTATAAATGGCTGGAGCACCTTTAGAGAAGTATCTCAACATGTAGACTATTGTGCAGAAGCATTTTGACTAACACTACTTAGTGTAACTATTTTATTGAAATGAATCCTTCAACTTTTGTTGATTAGAAGTAATCTAAAAGTACTTTAACACTTCTATTTTAAATAGCTATGCTTCAGTAATCAAACCTCTAGAAAAAGTTGAATCACTTTTCTAAGGACAAAAAAAAAATCAAAAAAAAAGGTGCACTTTGCTATGTTAACAAGCGTTACTTAACACAATTAGAAAAACTTCAGGCATTATTGTGAACCAGCAAGCTGTGACACAGCATACACAGCCTTGTGACAAATGCATGGCTGTGATTTGTGGAAGGTGTACTTTAACTGGCTCAAAAACAGTAGTCAATTCAATATTTGCACTTTTACCATAAATTCAGCAACAGAAAGTAGTAAGTACATTATAGTCTCAGAGCTCTTCTACAAATGGAGACTTCATCTGACATCAATGTGCTGTAACCAATGTGGTCAGCTTGGACAAAACTTTACATTATTTGTCATGTATATAATAAATCAGCATCACAAATATCAATATTGCTGTGTGTCTGATCAGATATTTTTTCTTACAGAGTCAAGACTTCACTGACATTTTGGCAAAACTGCAAATGCTTGGGTTTAGTCTCCACGTAGCCAAGAGCTAATATGAACCAACACAGTGAGTGACCTTATGTCACAGAAGCTTCCACTGCTAGCACTACCACATCAAAGCACACACCCTTCAAGCACTTCATGCTCTCTTATTTGCTTCAAAAGCCTATCTTGTGTTATGCTGAGTGAAGCTGCTAACACAGCAGAGAGGATATGGGTGCTGGAGAGCAAGAAAAAAGAAAGAACAAAGGTTTTGTCTCTGCCTAAATCTTGGAAGCTGCTTAAAGCCTTTTCTCTACCCCATTGTCTTTAGACAGAGTACATCTGTAATCTGATCTCAACAGTTGTCATTTTGGAGACTAGGCTGTTAAAAATGTGACCACAGTTTTGCTTTCCTCAGTCAAACTATTTGTGCTTTAGGACATCTTCAAACTAGCAACCTATTTTTTCAGCAAGCTCAAACTGCAAAGATCAGTTTTCTTGCCTTTCTGTACAGTTAACTAACACACAACCACCAAGGAGCTCAGGTACAGTTATCCTTAATAATGACAGACTGTAACAACTCCTTACTTGTCACTTACTGATGGAACAGTGAGACTGCTGTTATTGTTTGCTTACCTCTACCAGAGAAATGGTATTTCACAACTAAATAATTAGATTCAAGGAGTGCTGTTCCCTGTGGTAAAATTGGTATTACAAATCTTATCCATGGAAATATTCCTTCAAAAATCAGAGGCTTTTGGAACAGCTATTTTATCTTTATGACAGTGTCATTTTCAAAAATATTAAACACAGTACAGAAGCAAATCTATATTAGTTTGAATCGGGATTCCATTCTTGAAGTAGATATCTCATTAATTCCCTTTTTTTTTCTTCTGTGCTTTGGATCATGTTGCAGAATGAGCAGATGTTTGGATGAAACTAAGCTCTAAAGCATACTCTTGGGTTCCCATTTAACAGCACAGCTGCTAACAGGCAGTCAGGCCACAGGAACAGACTAAATCTAAAACCCGGCAAGTAAGTATGGCATATATATCTGGTCCTCATCAGTAATTTTTATGCTTTACAGATCGACTCCTGATGGCCAACACAACCAAAAAGACTTTGCTATAGTGTGCTAATGGTGTAAACTTACCTTTCCTCCACACCTTTCTACCATCTCCTACTCTATTCACTGACAAGACAAAGTCCTTGTCCAAGAGGTTCTGGCTATCTACAAACAAAAAGATCACTCAAGACAACCAAAGGTGGAATGAATGATGCAGGAATGCTCTGGTGTCAGCACTTCCTTAGCGCTTCTATGATTGAACATTATTGCTCAATTAAAAAAAAAAAAAAAAAAAGTACATGGATAGAGACAACACAGCTTTAGCAATGTGAAATTCTTCCAAGTTCATTCAAAAAGAAAACACTTGACCTTAAAGTCTTAAGCCATTTTCACATATTTAGGTGCATGTGGCGGAAAACTTGTAAATATTCCAGCCTTTGAAGCCCACTTACTTATTACTTTCATGAAGACAGACATAAAGACATACTTGTTTAAAAAGCTCTCACATTGGGAGAATTGCTTTTAAACAAGCCTGACAATGAGAGGAATAGCAGAAGCTAGTAACTACTATTAGGCATGCTTGTCTTATGGGATGCATCTTCAAAGCTGAAGCATTTCAAGCAAGATATTTTTTCCAAACAAGGTTTTCCAGACAGAGATAGAGTTACCTTTTTCAACAGCTGCTCAACTTCTTGCATCTGTGCACTACGATCAGTGGCAGACACTTTTGCATACTCCTGCTTTTTACTGAGCCTGCTCTTCCAATCTTCTTCACCACTCTTCTTCAGCAATGCCAACCTAGAAGAAAAACCAAGTCAAAAGATTAGCTTTAAACACTATACCTCCCATTATCCTTACAAGCTACCTCTATTGCCTCAGTAATGACACATTCAAGAAAATTTGAAATTAAGTTTTCTACCTGATTGCAGTTTTTTACATTTCATACACACATACAAAGCTCACAAATGAACAACAAGCTTTTACTTAACAGGTCAAACAAAAAATATCTGACAAAACACAGACATCTAGATCTGAGAAAGGCACTCCAGTTAATTTGTATAGTCAGCAGAAACTGCCAACACAATCAAGAGAGGCCAGGGTACAATGCAGACCATCCTGAAGTAAACATATAAGCAAGTCAGATGAATCACTGCTATTTTTTCCTCTTCTTGTCGATAATATACAGAGATTGACTAACTCAGCTATGGATGCTTATGCTGTAGATGACCAAAGTTAATGAGCTGAATCCTATCACAGGTATTTATTGTACTCATTAAAAAAAGATTTAAAAATTTATTTTCTTTAAAACCCAAGAAGGAAGAGGTGTATTCAGCAAGCAGCTATCAATAAAGTCTCATCAGGCATGTCAAGTGATAACTTTGCAATTAGTGGTTGGACTAGAGTTCCGATGACTATCGGACTGCTAGAGAACATTTAGCATCTTCTTGCTCATCTAAGGTATTGATGTCATAAATCAGTAGTTACAACACAGTAACAACTTAGTGCTACTGTGCTACAGCTGTGAGCACCATCTGCAAGATTCAAGTGGTTTAAATGATGCCTTAAGCTTAAAATGTAGATTACCACTAATCTCAGGTAAGCAGGATCTTGAAGAAGGGCTATTTTCTTATCTTAACAAACATGCTGAATGTAGCACAGAGGGACAGTGATTGTCCCCATGGGCAAGCAAATGTTTGTTTTGCTGGATTAGAACCTGTTTGTCCATGCAAACCCCAAAGTGACTACCTTTGGGCACAGGATAAGTCAGTTCAGAATAGAAGGTCCACAAATACATGAATCTTCAGCTTATTTCTCTCAGAAATTAAACATTTGTATGAATTTTCTAGCTTTCAGAAACCATTCTTAGTGTTCCATAAGTGTACATTTGTAATACCTGTTCAAACAATTGCACTGTTCCACTAAGTCATTTTATTTTGGTTAAATAGTTAAATTTTGCTACATAACTTTTTAAAATCTAAAGCATTCCAGCAAGAATTACACTAAGACCCCTTAACCATATTTGTATTTGCACAGTTCGGTAGGTTCAGTAGGTTGGCAACCTGTTTCAATCACAGGAGGTGAAGATGTGTTTTCAAAGATGTGACTACCGTAACCGCCACAGTAAGTACGTGAGGGTTGTCCTGAACCTACAAGGAGAAGGGAGGATTAGGACTGAATAGGTCTAGCCAGAAGCCAAATTTCAGTCAGTTGCTTCCTGCAGAAATCCAGGGAGTGCACCTGTGTAGACTACTACGGGGAGTGTACAGTGTGGACTACTGACCTCTTCAAGGACAGCCAATTGGTCCTAAGGCAGTCAGCTGAGGAAAACTGAGGATTCAGAAGACAGTAAATCTACAGCGTACAATGGCAGTAAGAATGTTAGAATTCAATAAGGCAGTAATTTCCTCTGTTCCTGCCCAGGCAGGCAGTGCAGGCAGGCCTAACTGCCTGGCTGCTTCATACCTCACTGCATGGCATGAATAGAGGTGAAGAGGACTCACAATAAGGAGCTGAGACCATAGCCATTGCTTCCAGAACATATACAAGATTTCACTGTCCAGAACTAATCTTCTAGAGTGCATCCATGCACTGTGGAACTGCACAGGAGATCAAGATTAGACGGAATTGCCATCACACTGCTGATTCAATAGTTATGTTCTCTCAGGTCAGCTTTGCTTAGAAATGATCTTCAGTAACTGAAGCTGGAAGGCATTTTGATCAACTCAGGCCTAAAATCAGTTTGTTTCTAAAAATGTCTATTAGCTGCACAGCACAGAAGGAAAGATTTCTCTTCCTGTGTTTTTTTTTTTTAAACCAACATCACTGCAGCGTTTTGCCCAAGACATTTGTTCTGGACAGCTTGGCTGACCAGAAAGAGAAAACTCTAATTCTAAGACTGTTTCTATGTCTTTGGAGAATGCTCTCTTCTCTATTATAAGGATGGATTATTCACTTTCATCTTCCACTTGTACCTGTAATGAAACAATGCATTTCTAGAGTAAGGTTCCATTTGTCTGGCCCAAATGATGAAATCACTCCTTAAAGAAACTGGTATGCCCAGCATGCCATTGAAAACTTCACTGCTGTGCAAAACCTAAAGCCATGCATTTGTTATGAACCATAGAAAGAGCATTAAATTCAGACTACTTTGACTCAGCAGCCATTGGAGGGCATTTTTTTTTTTTTTGTTTAAATAAAGATGCAAAAACTGCTGAATTAAATCACATAAGCAAGCCCAACAGCTCAAGAGCTTAACTTAGAAGGCAGATAGCAGTTGATTCTTTGGAAAGTCTGCAAAGAAAGAACAAACAAAGACAGTTTTTGGTTCTAACTCTCAGATCTGTTTAAGATTTGCTTACTAGGTTCATTGCATACATCTAGTTTTCCACCTTTAAAAAACAATTAATTCACTATTCACATTTATTGATCTTTACATACTTCCTCCTTTTCATCCAAAAGTTCCTTTTCCAATCTGAAAACGTTTTATTCTTGGAAGTAAAAGCTTTATTATGTATCTGCCCATCTTTGCAGCTTGCTCTGTGTCTTTTTTTCAGCTGTTACTGAGACACAATGATGCAGAGGTGTCAGGACAGATTCAAAGCAAAAGATTTCACATTTGAAGGCAAAATGCTGGATTAGTACTGAAGGGAAATATGAGCAAGATCTGAACAATAATTTTGCCTAAACTAGGAATGTTATATCAAAGGCCTTGGCAAAAGCCCACACAAAAAATGACTAAAAGAAAACAAAGATGCATCTTTCTTCTCTGGCAGTATTTCAGTATCTGACTGAACTGGACACAAGTTTGGCTTCCACACAGACTCCATTGGTTGCACTTGACTGGTAATTTCCTGCAGCCATTCATAAATCCTAGAGGCCAATCTGAGTGAAGAAACTACAAAATGGAAGCTGATGGTCAAAGAGTTCACAAATTCACTGCATATGTGAACAAGCCTACGTAAGAAGCTAGCTGTGATATTCAAACATCAATGAAGGCTGAATATAAAGCCTAGTCTTGGCTTGTCTTGACAAAGACTGAATGAAAGTTGGAGGTCCACCAACTACTTATCTGTGGTTTTTGAAAACGGTGATCATGGCATATAGCTGACTTCTATAGAAGAGCAGACCAGGTGGCCTTCTAGCAACTTCTGTCTCCGTAAATGTACAGATACAGGCTACATGCAGCTGACACTGTGTTCAAAATCCTCCAAGACATTCCCCTTCCTGAAGGCCTCTCCCAGGCTTTTCATTTGGCTGAAATCAAGGTGTTTATAAAAAGGTTTCCATCTAACACAAAACAGCCAAAACAACTGTGAGAGAGGAGTCTCTGCTCCCTCTCACCTCCAAGTGGCATGTTGGCAGAACATATATTTTCTGTCTTGAAAAATCATAATTTTCAGTCTTCGACATAATATTGGTAATTTAAAAAATGCCAAGTATGCACTCAGCCTGCAAGATAATACTACTTCAGTGAAATAAGTCTTTGTGGAAAATCACTTTCATCCAGATCAACAAGTATGCATCCTGCCCAAATAACATTACATCTGTGGAAAAGCTGTTCTTCCATAAGGTGAAAGAATGTCTGACACAGCCAGAAAAAAAACACTGGATAGATGAAGTTCATGAATAGATGAAGTTCATGAATGTAAAAAGAAAGAAAGAAAAAAAAAACAACGAAGAATCCCAGCAAAGAAAAAAACAACACCTAAAACACAAAGAGTAAAAGGTAATTTTTAGCAGAAATGCTCTTTGAGGTTTATGAATCGTTGGCGCCAGTTACGGACAAGCAAAAGAAAAAAATGCAACCAGTCACTAATATTATTTTATTAATTCTGTGTCAAGAAGAAGACTACTGTGCTATTTTGGAAGGCTAAAATATTTTGATACCAGCTTTGTCATTTACAGACATTTGCAGAGTCAGAATAAAAAAATTCCTGACAAGAAAGCAGGTATTTTATGGTGTCAATTCTGGGATTAAGTAGACAGCCACAAAGGCTTAACAAAAGCAATTTCAGATTGTGAGTGTGATTGACAGTCTGACAGGAACATCAGTTCCTCATGAGACCAACTCAACTGAAGCATTACATTTAGGACCAAGAGAGCTGCTAACACATGGACTTTCCCCCTCCTTCCAATCTTTGTCTCCCCATCATGCTCAGGGAAAACAGGTCATTTACTACCCCAAAATCAGACGTTACTGGACTTAAATCTTATCTGACCAGACAAACACATATTTACAAAAGGATGGGGGGAGAGCAAGGTTGCATTAAAATGAACAAAGAAAAACCCAGTGAACTGAAGTTGGTAAGTAAATAATTCAGAAAGGGATCCAAGACTGTATAACTGTTCTAGCTGCCCTGCTCTCCAATTAATGTTAAAGGGATAAAAGGGAGTGAGGATGCTAAAAATGAGGATGACTCACACACCTAGAAATACATGAAGCAAGCTTTGTAATCCTTCCTAATATCATACTCGCCTCACAAAGAGATGGAATACTTTGACACAGTGAAAGTTAAGAAGCTACTTTGTTGCATGGGTTCTACTTTTACCGTACAAAAGCAGAAGGATAAGGCTATTTGTCAACTAGATGCAAACCACCATAACTTTACTCATAGGACTGCTACTGGAACCCTTTCATACTCCACTGTTGAGTTTATACTCTCAAAGTTTTAAATGAATTAGAATGAGTTTCATAAGTGCTACAAGCAGCTACTGTAGTTCCAGCCAGAACTATAAGCACACAGTAATTATCGTTTAATTTCAGATTACAATGGTCTTAGGTTGGAAAAAACATTTCTAATACTCCTACAAACCTGTGAAGCTCATCATCCTTAAAAATCTCTGAGCAAATCTCAGAAGTCAAAATGGAAACTATGTATTTCTGAAGTGGGAAAAATCACCAAGTGTATCCCCGATTTCCTGTACTCAGCTTACTAAGAAGAGACCATTTCCATAAAGCAACAAAAAACCACACATTTTTTAAAAAAACACCCAGTAACTATTTTAACTGAAGCACCCGAGGAAGCACGTTGAGTATATCAGCATAAATGTCACTAGAATATGAATTTTTACTGCTTTCATTTTCTGACTTTCTTATTGATCATTCGGGTGGCTCTTTCAAAATCATCATCTCCCAAACAGTAATTCTTTCACCATCTGCCTTACAGGTGTGTCGAGCAGATTAGCTGCATATTTCGACTGTTAGCTTTTGACATCTAATAAAGCCCTATCATCACTGCTTAGCTTTCTGAGAAACAGGTTTAAACCTTCTCTCTTATATCACTCTAATAACTTTATTTATAGATTAAAAAAAAAAAAAAGAAAAGTGAAATTCAAGTACCTTTCCTTAATTGACATCGTTTTGCTGGAACTATCAAGGGCATCCTCAGTTGTCTGTATTTTGTTCTCTCCAGCAGAAAACATCTCACAGGAATTCTTGTAGAATTTTCCCTCCAGTTGTTCAGACAGCTCCTGTAGCCTACAGGATGCCACAGCTGCATTCTGTGAAAGCGTCCTCGTTGCTGGTGTGCTGGTGAGTTCAGAAGTAGGCTCAACATGGTCTGCCCAGCCAAAAGAAAAGTGCTGAATTACACTTAGCACTATTCTCAAACCTTTTTTTAAAATTACTAACACTAAAGCAGCAGGTCTGCTTTTTGATATTCAAATCACATGCTGTCCTAACACAGAAAAAAAATTCTGTCTGAGCTAGCATAGAAAGATTAATTGCTTAGTATTATCTGCTGCATAGACTGGTCCCTTCTGACTGAAGTTCACATGAAGCTGCAGAGTATCACGTTCAGTACTCAACTCTGAACTTCATACAGCTGAGGCACAAACTGCTGCTCCTGTCATCATGCCAACAGGAGGAAAAAAAAACAGACAGATGAAAGAGACAGGGGAACAAAGAGCAGGACAAAGAAAGGAAAATTTAATGAAGTTAATATATAGGTAAAGCATTCTAATGTATAGGTAGCACACTAGGAGAATATTTAATAATTTAATGAAGATCTTGTTTTCTAGGAAGATCTTAGGGACATATTTTCCTGAGCTGCAACTCAACCACAAGAAAAACTGCCCTGAGAAAAAAATAAATGCATGTTATCTTCATTTTTCTTTTTAAATTCTGCAAGCACAACATTCCCTGTTACAGGTCTGCTCCTGTTCTATCCATTCAGTCTCCCCAGGAGTCAGAGAAATGTAATTAGAATGGACACTGATTTGAGGAATACAAGCAGACCTGTATCTTTCTCCCTACATCTGTTTGGAGACCATTTATATTTAAAATAAATTAACTTCATAGGTCAATTGCAAAACTTTTTCCAGCACCACAGAGCACTCTTGACCTGTACCCCAACCTAGTGAAAAAGAAAACTGCTCTGAGAATTACTTGTTTTACATTTTGTCACAACACTGATAGGAAAGTAATACTACTGCTTCAAAAACCACCCACAACTAGCTATGTATGTACATTTGCAGTTAAAATGAAGACAATGGCTCAGAGCAGACTTAGCAGTTTGCAGCAGACACTTGACCCAGAGCAGCTAGTTCAGTGTGTTCAGGGTTTCAGAGGACAGGGGCAAGGGCAATGGAGGAAAGAATATATCTTAACTTCAGCATATACTACCATTTCTTTCAAGGTAAGAAAACATCAGTAAAAACGAGCCATCTCTAAGGCCTGAAGTGTTGTAAGAACAACTAAAAAAACTGCACTTCCAAAACTTAAAGGCTTAACTTAACAGTTCACTTAAACTACTGCTTTCACTAGTTTAAGCAGCATTAAAAAATAAAAACGAAATAGTCTCGATAACACCTGAAAAGAAGAAGTTGTAAAACAGAAACACTGCTGTTAGCTGAACCAAACTACACCAACAACGAGTACATATACTGCACCTCTGTGCAAAGTCTTGCTTTTCACATCACTTTCCAAATCCATTTTTTCTCCAAAGGAGTGGCTTTCTGTGACTTCCCATTTACCTTGCATGATGGTATCAATTTCCTTCCTTTCAAGAGGCTGAAAAAGTGGTTGAGAACTAAACAGTTCCATGCTGCCCTTCCTCAGGAAGCTGTAGGCTGCCTCTTTATGGTAGTCTCCTGTTTTTTCAAGAACAGGATGTGTGGTTTCATCCTCAAAGGAGCTGTACTTTCTAATTTCATTAGCTTCATGTGCTAGAAACCTCTTTCCCTCTTCTTCATGCTTCTTTGATGCTCTTTTGCTTTCTAGCACTTCCCTTGAGGGCTGCCACTGTTCTGACTTCTGTGTGCGTTTTCCTGATGAGTCTGAGCTTTCTGCTGAAGCGTGGAATCTCAAATCATCTTTTGTGGCAGCACTCACACTTCCATCAGTACGTGGTTTCGCATGCATGTCTCCAGCAAACAGTGCAGAAAGGGCAGAAGCCATTGCTGAAACTGATGTTGAAACTGTACTTGACAGGGGAGTAAGTTTTCCACTTTCATTTTGAACCTATGAACAAAAAAATAACAGAAATAAAAAACAACCTGAGAGTTCCAAAATCATCCATTTCCAAGAAAAGACAAAATCATCCATTCCCCCAAAAAAGTGTATCACATTAAGTTCCTCAGAACAGAAGGTGTGCTTCCATATGAATATACTGCTCTACAAAAAGACGAGGAGAGCAACAACGCCCCCATCATTTGTCTGCAAACAGGTGATTCCACCCAGGGTAAAAATGACTGCACATGAACAGCAGCATCGTTAGCAGTAAAGGGTATATGCATAGCATGCAATATGACATGTCAGAGCTCCATGAAGAGATTTGTACTGACCTGGTGCTGCACAGCACTGGGAAAAGAAATTAGTTCAGGTTCCAGACGCCGGATGACATGCCATGTGCCCAGGCTAATCAACTCTGTGTCTCAGCAGGGCTAATTAGCTTTGGCACAGCTCTGCTCTGATACAGTCATGCAGCTTCCAGCTCTGGAGCCAACACAGCACCAGAAAGAGCATTCTGTGCTGATGGTGGGCACACTTTTCAGACACTTTTGCTCCAAAAATCACCTTTTGAGGACTGTTAGTCTGAGACTTTTGGATACCAAACATTTTCTGTCCCATACATCTCTGAGCAAAATATTAAAAAAACTCCAAATTTGCTTTGGTGGCCTCTGCAATATGTTTTCCACACAAATACAACACTTTTTCTGAAATTTTTCTAGACAATTGAGATGAAAATTTTCCCTGAAATGCAGAGCTTGGCATTTTCTTCTCCAAAGAGGACAAAGGCAGTGAGAGTATTTGTATGCCTTCAAACAAATCAGGAGATGGCTTTTGTTTGACTTCTTTGCTGTTTTCTTAAACTGCAGGGCTAATGAACAGCATGCAAAAGGAGTTGACAAAAATCACACCATCAGGAGACAAACAACTGAGAACTTAAAACGCACATGCAAATTCCACAAAGTGTGGACAATACACTCATAAACACATCAGAAAGCAGAGCAAAAACTACTACACTAGCTCAAAGATTCAAAAAAAAAAAAAACATTAATAAAATAGTTACCGGTTTACTCTTTTTCCATTGCATCTATCAGAATCAGAAATGTAGAGATCAGCAAAGAGATTTCAGCTTTAATTACAAGATATTTATTTACATTTGCAATTATGTATTTTGCGAATGAAACCTCCAGTTGCCTATTTTGTTACTGTATTTATATTTCTTCCTACAAAAACCATAGCTGTCTCTCCAAACTCCAAATGCACAGCATGCTACATGAAGTCTTTCTGTCAACACGTTCTCACCGCACTCTGATTCAGAGGCAAGCCTGGTTTCTTTTGCTAGGTTCAGAAAGAAACGACAAAACATGCTTCCTCTGCATTTCCTTGCCTGAAATCTAAGTTCATCTGTAAAAGCCTGACAAACTGAAGTGACTGTCACTGGCTTCTTTCTCATCTGCTTCAGCGCAGATCTGTTGATCACATTCCTGGCCCCCAAACATGTTAGTAACACGATCATAAAAGAGTCCAGGCTGTGACAGTAGTTAGCATTAGAAAATGAATGCAAACAGTACTCTGTAATGCCTGAAAATCTTTATGTATACATACCAAATATTTACTACTGCTTCAAGCCTAAGAAAATTAGGCATAATGTACAGTTACATAGTCATACAGCTTTGCACCAATATGGTTAAAGAATCCTACCTTCTCACAATTCTATTATTATATGGAAAAATGTATAAATATGGATGAGAATATGGAAAGAGAAGTATAGGAACTTTCTCACACTCAGATTAATCCAAATTTGTAGAAGCAGAACATGCAAAACTGTTGTCCCTAAGGAATGGATTTTTCTGTTGTGAACATCAGCTCTAAAATACTGGCCACTCTGTTCTCAAACTTCACTAAAAATATTCCTTTCCAGTTTCGAAGAACTCTGGAAGAGGAAGCCCAATTCCACTCCACAAATTAAATTACTTCATTTTGACTGGAAATTTCTAAATTTCAGAAGTATTCTGCTTTGGGGGGAAAAAAATAAAAACTAGAATCAATGTCCTCTCCTGTAGGAAAACGACAGAGCAGAGCCCTAATGATGGAAATAAATAACGCCTTCAGGAAAGGATTTGAAAGATGCACATCATAGACTTCAATAACAAGATGTGTCACAGCTTTCAGCCCTTTGGTCAGGAATTTACTTTCAGAAGGCATACGGCGTTGCACAGGAAAAGACAGATGCTATGCAAGGTACAGCATGCACTCATCAGGAAAATTACATACTCTTGAAGTACTAAAAAAAGAAAACCATATCAATAAACTCAAACATTTTGGAGGATGCTGTTCCTCTATGTCTGCTTCTTGACAAGTTTTTTCCTGTGAATATGTCATGACCCCTACGTGTAGCTTGGAGCAAAGAAAAGGCCAGCTGTCATGACATCTTACGCGGAAGCTGTTTTCTCTGATGAAAAGGCACAAACAAAAAACAGCTAAGATTGCACTTACCTGCTCAACTTCTCCAAGAGTGACTGGCTGGGTCTGGTAACGAGAATTCATCCTCCTGTGCCTAATATCTCCTCGACTCCTTGTGGATATAGCCCTGGATACTGGCTGAGACAGTTTGTTAAACAAAGCCATCTTTTCTGCCAAGCTTAATGTGGATGAATCTGGTTCCTCAGATTGATCTTGCCCCATCGCCTCTTTGGCTGCTCTTATCTCCTCTTTAGCTAATATTTTTTGGTGTGCTGATGCCTGCAAGCTGAAGAAACAGAACTGGAAATGAGTTTTAAAGATGCTGTTGGAAAGGTTTAAAATCTTAACCTGAGAGAAGCAGAAGAACTTGCATATGAAGCATAATAGCCAATGTAATGTAGCAGCCTAAGTGATTATGCAGTGGTTCAACATTGGCACGAAGGGTTCCAATTAAACAGCTGAAGATTTAAAGAAATGTTAATTTTTCAATCACAAATTCATTTGATTACGATACCACAATTTTTGAGAAGGGAAACTCAAGGCTGAAGACAGGCTTTTGGGACCTATCGATTTATACATAATACAGATCAATGGAGAGACATTTAAGATGCTGCTGTAGAACAAACACTTGTCCTACACTGTAATTTATATAAATTTCAGCTTCATTAGAAATAATTTGTGGAGCACATTTTATAAAACATGTAAGAGATGGATTTAAACTCCAAGTTAGCGCGGCTTTTAGGTTAGCATAAATTGTAATGTCTCTTTCGATTTGAAGGAGAATAGAATTCGTGGTTTTTTTAGTTTTAGTTATACGGGGAACTCTAATAAAAAATAATTTTGCAATTTACTCCACTAATTTTTAGATTGCATGACCAATGCTGAAGGCAGACACATTCATTCATAAAAGCTGTAACTGCATTTGTCTCTACAATAACGTTTTATTCACCTCTAGCTAAATTCAGCCACGTTTAAGGAATTAGTATACATATTTTCTGTTGTGCTCTTTGCTGAAATGCTCTTGTTCAGAACAGGCAAACAGTATTCTGCAACGTTACCTATAGGTGGTGCAATTTCTTATCTTTCCTTAAATTTCGCAAGCTAAAAAATATATGTAGAGACAGACAAAGAGGGTATGTCCTGCTTGTGAAGTCAAGCACCCAGCTTCGGTTTTTCATGTCAGGATGACATTATTGTATAAAAACGTAACAGAGCGAAGAGGCTTCTGCCAGGTCTGCTCACATGCAATTTCATGTCTTTCACATATAAGAATAGGTGAGTGTGGTTAGAAAGATCCTAAAAACAGATGCTTGACAAAAAAAGCTGCAACGTTTCATCATGCAAACATAAACGAATTTGACAAGTGTTTTAGATATTCTTGAAACGAGTTTTCACTTGACACATTGAAAAAGGCATTCAAGATTTTAAAGATGCATCTGCTATTGAGGAATCTTGTGCTCCATGTAACATGCATGTTTATCCCCCCCAGTACCTGGTAGGTTGTACAGTGCTCTTAACTACAGTGGGACTAGGTACTCTTGTCACTACTGTGTGGGTATTCACAGAACGTGAAGCAGGGGTAGTTTCACTTTAAAGAATTGCCAAGGAAGGAAAATTCACAGGGAGAGAGAAGAAAAAAGCATTAAGAAAAGCAATACATTAAGTGTTAACTACAGAAAAGACCAAAAACAAAACAAAACAGAAAAAAAACAAACAGCAATGATTTTTAATTAACAGAGTTACCTGCTATGAACTTTGCAAAACAACATCAAATACTTTGGAAGAACTAAAAGCTTAGAGGAGCAAACAGGTTGTCTTTTGAAGTTGCTGTTACCCGTAATGTATTTTAGCAGTAATGTATTTTACCCGTAATGATTTTAGCAGATCATTAGATGGATGTCAATTTGCTTTTTTTTTTTTTTCACCTATTTTTCCCCCCAAAAATATTTTTCTTCTTTTAAGAAAGCTCCATGATGTCCGAGCAGAGTGCAAAAATTGTTTTCAAGATGTACACTTGAAATTCCAGACTCTAAAAGGTTTACCCCAATACAAATACATTACATGAGAAATTGTGCAGACTTCCCTCAGTGCAAAATATCCTTTTCATTTGAGTTACAAACCAATAATCCCTTTTTCCTAATCCTAATCCACAGCTTCAAAAAACTGCTAAATTACAGTTCATGCAGTTGATACTTTACTATTCCCTCTATTTCAAAAAGAGAATTTCAATATAGCTTCCCCTGTGGTTCTCAAGGAAGTTGGCCCTTAAGAAAACACATTCTTTGTGCTACACAGTTGTAAACACCACATATATGGAACTTGTTCTCAGATTTAAAAGCAGGAACCAAGGTTAGAGCCAACACATGCACAAGACTTACGTAGCTGCAATGACCACTTCCTCGCTGGTGATTGGCTGTGTGTGTGATCTGTCCTGCAAACGCCGCATTCTTCTCTCTACTGCCGAGCTTCTCGTAGGTGGTTTTGGAATATTCTTCATTTCAAAAGATTTTTCCATTTCCTTAGAGGACAAATGTCAGAATTCAAACTGTGCAAGAAAAGTTCTAAACACTACTTTCTTTTCAGCCTTCTTGGTTGCAAAGTATTAATTTTGCTGATTGTCCACCTCTAAATTAGAAGCAGGCTACGATCACATAGTAGGCATCATGCGGTTAAAATTAACTACACATCTCTTTAAATAATGTTCTCAAAGGAGGCTTTAAAGCAACAGGTCTGCTGTGTAAGTAGATGAGGTAAAGTAAAAAAAAAAAAAAGTATGTACTTGGACGTGGTTAACTGCTTTACACTTCATTCTTATTAACTAAGTGACCATCAGCATCTTGAATATGAAATGTTCAGCTATGAACTCAGCAACCTTCTACACCTTGAACATGAAATGTTTACCTCTATTTTCTATTAAGAAAGTTTAATACTTACTCTAAAAAGCAGCCTCTTTGCAGCTACACTTAGTTTGGCTCGGTCATCTAATTTTTCTTCATCTACAAAATGTAAATAAGAAAAAATTCATATTAAGTTAAAGTTTTTCTGACTAAGAGATTTCCGAACTCACCCTAAATGATGTTTAGCTAATGAAAAAACATCGGAAGTCAAAAGATGGCTGCACTCTCTTTCAGTTGAAGATATATCGTGAAGAAAATTGTATAAAGTTTTACTTGTATTTACATGGATAGCATCAGAGAAAAATTCTGAACAGGATTTCTGGAGCAAAACAATTTTCTGCATTGCAGCTCATGTCCTTTCAGGTTAACTAGAGAAACTTTTATGAATGATCATATATATTATGGTAGTCTCTGATAACACACAGACTAAGAAAACACTTAAACTAAGAGACAGACCCCTCTCTTGAGGCTCATTATTCATTGTGCTGCACAAAGCATCTATTTTCTCTCAGTCAGCCAGACATGCTGGTCTTTCTGATTACCACCTTGTTTCCCCATTTTTCAGAGGTTCAGCTGGTATCCTGAGGAGCTGAAATCAGCATCCTCCAGATCCAACAGACAGCATCTCAAAGCTGCAGAGTATCAGCTTTCAAATAGCACAAGGCATTACATCTAAATTTAGCTACTCATGAGATTAGCTTCTTAATTTGTGCCAGACTTGCTGAGAACGACAAGAGGAAAAGAGAGGCAAGATGGCAGACAATTATATAATTTAATAACCAGCATCTTCCAACATTCTTAGCTAGAAAATACCAATATGATTTTCCCATTATAACAAAGGCTTTTTGTTATTAGACTTAGAACACTGCTCAAAACAAGTTGTTTTTTTTCCAGCCAGATAAATGTCATTATGTTGAAAAAGCAAGCCACTCCATCCTCTGCCCCCCATATATACTTAGATATCTGCAGACTTTCAAGCTTAAGTGAATTTAAAACAAAGTCTGCAGCAGACGTGGCCCAAGGAAAAGTGGTATTTCAAATATATACTGTTACTGATGCTTATTTTCAGATGGATGTATTTTTTGCATTATCAAACACCACTTCAGTAAAGAAAGTACACTCATTTCCATTTCTTCCTTTGAAAATAGCATAGTGACGTACCGTCAGCAGTTGGTATTTCTGCACACAAAACGGACCTAGTGAAAAATAAACAGAAACAAGTTAGCTTGAAAGAAGACATCAAAGATTAGACTCAAACTTCATCTGAAGCAGTAAGACTTCAAAATTTTTAAGAATAGAGAAACCATGCCTATCTTTCAAGGTTCAACAACTTCCAACTAATTTCACTTATAACATCCTTTAATAAAATAGAAAGGCAAGCAATCATATCCCAACTTTAGTAAAGGAAAATTATTTCCTATTTATCCCACAGAAGACTAAGGTCTAAGATTTGCTGCCCGGTCTATTAACATCAAATACATAGATTTGATTGCTCGCAATTAATGAAACAGAGTAGGATGGACCCTCTATTCTATATGACTCTTTTATGACAACAAACAAAATCATTTATCATCAGACAGAACCAGACAAGTGCAATCCTTCATGACTGACTGTTAACCACTTCATGTACAGAGATTTGCAGCACGCTGCTTTCTGTTGATTTTTGTTTTGTAAGGAACTTCACACCCAAGTCAATTGGAATTTATTCTGTAACAAATGCTTGATCTTTTTTTTTTTTTTTCTTTTAAGAAGAATGATCACCTTTTAAAATACTGATGCTAACAAATGAACAGATTTTCTCGACACGCTTGTTCACATCTACCTGCACCAGAACGCTACACAGAGCTACACACATGCCTACCTATCCATCTCCTTTCGTTCTGCTGACGTTATAGGTTGGGTTTTAAATCGCTCAGAAGTCTTTCTATTTTCACCAGGAGTGAAATAGCGCCTCGGCCTTCGCGGCCCTCTGTCACGGTCACCACTGGCAGACAAAGCGCTGCCTGACGTTGACATCTCAAACCGAGATTCGCTTTTAAACCACACGATAGAAAGTGCATAGAAAAGAAAATAGGAGAGAGAAGTAAAGCATAGATGTAAGCATCTCAACAGTTCACTGGAGATCACTCTGCATGCTCCTCTGGTAACATGCACAGACGGACACATTCCAGCTCCCCACACCACAACTCGCACTAGCAAGCAGAAGCACGGAAGCGGGATTCAAACCATCTCAGCCTCCAATACACACTGGTGAGAGCTAAGCTGTGTGCTGTAAGTGCCAAACACAACTGATGTTGAGTGTGTGTCATTTTGCCAAGGACGTGCAACTTTCACACGAAAATACATCTGAAATGTCACCTACAGGTCCGTTTTCTTGTTGGCATGAGCTGTTTCCAGAAAGACATTACGGAGCTGGGCAACAGAGACCTTTGTGTCAACCATGCCAATCTCACCATTTGCTGCGTTTGCTTCCATGCTCTTACTATGAAAAGCTTCTAGCTTAGGAGGCACAGTATAGTCAGACATTGAGCGAGTCAGGACTTTATGCTTTGACACCTTCCAAACAGGGCCTTTTGCCTGCGCCGGCTGCGATACAGACCCGCTCTGTATGTACATGACAGCTTCGCTCCTCTCCATGTTCTCAGGTGTCTTCAGCTGCTGCTCAGGCGCCTGCTTCTTTCTGCACTCCGGCTCCTGCTGAACGTCTGAGCTGACCTTCGGCTTGCTTGGGATCCCCACACCGGTATCCAGGTCTTCTCCTCCAAAGAGGCCTTCATGGCTCTTCCCTTGTTTGCGAATCTCAGATGGCAAAATTGGCCTTCTGCCTTTGGAAGCCTGCTCGCCCTCCGGGGATTCTTCTTCGCCAGGCTTTGCTCCATAAGCCAGTGCCTCTTTCTTTTCACCCTCTGGTGCAGTGACTGCTGCTGATTTTGTTAAGGGGCTGACACTGTCTGGAAGGAGGCGGCTGCCAATGAAGATGTTTTCTGGTTCTTCTGTTGCCATCAGCTGAGCTGTGTGCGCAACGCCAGCAGGCTGAATATAGCCATGTATTGGTTGGCGGACCGCACTGACGGGCTGGTTGAGAACCCTGTCAAAGGCAGATGTTTCTGTCTGAAGAGGCATGTAGTGGGCTGGCACTGGCTGGGATTTTCTCAGAGATACACTGTCTGTGACAGGTTCAGGGCTTCCACGCGCACTTTCCTCTTTCACCAGTTTCTCTCTAACTTTTACTCTTTAAGAAAGAAAAAGGATTAAAGCCGTGAACAGCAATACCCAACAAAGGAAGGAACACAGACACCTACTGTGGGTATAGACAGCAGTATCATCTTAAAATAAAAAATAAATGGTATATATAAGGAAGCCAAGTTATAATGCAACCCCTTTCTACCCCCCCAAGTATTAGAAGTGATATTGCTTAACAACATTCAGGGAGATTCACAGGTTCTTAAACATGCATGGCTCCTGAGAAAACATTACAAGTGCAAGCCTCAAAACCCTTGGTGAAACTATGAGATGGTACCACTGTTTGGAGGGCTTGAAGGGGATCAAAAGAAAAAAAAAAAGAAAAATTTTGGTTTGAAAGTAAGCAACCCAGCTCGAAGTATGTGCAATTCCAGGCTTGCCATACTTTGGAATGTTTATGTTACTAAAAAATGTACTACTTAGAAAAGGGGAAAAATTTTGAGAGAATAATTCAGGATATCCAAAGCTATCCAAAACATTAACCTTTCTTGTGGTTATTTCTTTTCTCCCCAAGAACTTGTTAGTGAAACTTCTCAAGTTTACTCAAACACAAATTTTATTCAGTCTGATAAAGTGATTCTTTAAACTATAATGCATGTATCAAGCACTTTCCAGAACATCCACAATGATGTTAGTACTGGGTTATAAGAATTATTCTAACTAGGAATGCAGAAAAGAGTCTTCCTGGAGTGCTTTGCACAGTGGGCTAAAGGTATGTGTTACTGAATGGGAGGAAGCAGCTGCTTGTAGCTCTGATCAAGGGCTTGATATATTTTTTCAGTATTAAATTTTTACTTTTCTCACACCATCACCTTTGGAATTCAGTGAATTAATTGTAAGGAAGGCTAACATGGATTGGATTGAGGTGGAAAAATCTGTTCATTTGTAGAGTGCAAAATGAGATAAAATAAGTAATTATAAAAAATAAGGAAAGCTGATATGATAGCAGTTGTGGAAAAGGTGAGTGGCATTTATATTTCTTCAACAGAATATCAACTGGTCGCAAGTCACAATAAAAGCAGATGCTTCAGAAAAGTTTAAACTGCTGCTTATCTGCAAGGAACAATACTTTGTAACTCACTGCTGTTAAGGGAAAATAAAGGGCAAATGTTAAATCATGACAGGGTAAAGGGGAAAAAGGGAAGCTTCACAGTCCACTTGTTAGCCACACAGCTCTGTGATACCTGGAGGGCCAGCTGATAAGAGATGGTGTGTCCCCTTCTGAATCTTTCTGAAGGAACCATTCAGGTTTTGCTTTCCCTGCACTACTACAGAAAACAGAACTTCAGGTAGTTTTGGAGAAGGTTGCAATGCATGCTCACCCTCAGCTCCCACTCTTCCCTCCCCCATCTTCATCTCAAAACCTTTTCGTTTTTTAAAAAAGATGTGATTACTTTGTTACTGAAAATGGTTAAGGAAAAGGAAAGTACAGCACATTAATAAAAATACAAGGTGACAACCTGTGAAACAGACCATCAACAGACATTTCCACAAATGACTGCATTGCCTTCTGAGCACTGCTTTTTGTTTTTTGTTTTTTCACCAAGGTAAGTTTGCCAAGTGTGCACTGTTCAGAATTCGAGAAGTAAAAGCCACTGTACAATTTCATTTTTGCCACTGCCACTGCAGGTTTGAAGGGTATATGAAGGATATCCTTACAGCTTGCTGAAATTGTTCCTTTAGTGGTAAAAACCTGTCACAGCCTGCAGGTTCCAAAGGAAAGAAATATGAGTTTAATGAAGTTAGAAACTCAGGTGGCATACTGTACTTCCTAAGAAAGTATCTCCCCCTCTGGGGCAGCAGGAATCCCCCTCTCTCCCAATGCTCCAATACAGCAGTTTCAGAGTGCAAACCATGCAAGCTCTCAGAGCCACCAGGTGAGCTGTGCTGTGTAACTGCACGATTGGAAACAAAAAGGAGCAGGAAAAGCAACCCCTGACTTCCTTCTGCCTCTGTGTTGGAGTTAAAGGCATATAAAGACAAAAAACCTTGCAAACTTACAAGCCCTACAGGAAACGGTGTTTGCAAGCCCTAGTTTCCCCATGCACTTGCCCACTTCAGTGCACAATGATCAGCAAGAAGAGATCACAAGGGGCTTTCTGGCCACACTGGTGCTCACTCCCAGAGGGCAATAACACAGGCTGCTTTCCATTATGATCAGGTGGGTCTGAAAGAACTCTTCACCTTGCACTACAGTCATTTGGGATTAGAAATCCCACCAAGCTCCAGGTATTCTGCTTCAATTTTTCTTATCTAGCCATTTAATAAGAACAGTTGGAAAAGGACAAATCAAAAATGGTTCTTAAGATAAATTCACTTGCAGTAAATACACTGGCAAATCTGAGAACTCACCGACAGCTGTCACCTCATCCAAATCTAGCTTAGAACAAAGCCGAACACCAACTGCTGAAATAATTTTTGCACTCTTTTTCCAAATGTTTCTGAATTTCTGGAGGAACTGACCAAAGAGGAGGCATTCATGGGAGCTTTAACAGGAGCAGACTGGTAGCTGAAATCGCTCTGAGGAAAGTAAACTTCCCTCTTGTCTCCTGATATGTACTTTGGCTCATTTTATAGTGGGCAGGGCACAAGCAACATTTATTTGTACTTGATCATTCATCCTTTGAAGAGGGCTGTCAGAAGAATGCAAGCCATATTTTGAATGTGAAGTTAATCAGCAACTCCAGCAGCAGAATATATACAATGTCAAACAATACCTTCTCAGCACTTTGTTGTCTTCTCAGTGATGGATTATAGGATTGTTCATTAATACACTTAAGACTAAAGTCACAGAGCTTCCATACTTACCCCAAACTAAGCTGAATTTATTTTCTAGTTTGAACTCAGCAAACTAAAATTTAACAAAACACAGTTTAACAACATATATGATGGAAAGCTGCTTTCAGACCAGCACTGATCTGGAAATTGGCATTTAAACATTATTTTGTTTGAGCAAATCTCCAGAACTATTCCTACATCAGATTCCACATGAAAATGGATTTTAGCACTTTATTATCTGGAAACAGATAATAAACTGATAATAAACAACCAAGCCTTAGAAAACAGGAAGATCTTACAGTTGGAGACTGCCTCCAGTTATTGCCAAACACAACTGACCCACAGTGTTACACACAGCATTAGATCTCAGAGTGACATACAACTTATAACAGATGAAGAAGTATGTCTCCCTTGAAGATTGTTTCCTTTGTTATTTCTCTTCAGCCCAACTTCTGCAGGATCTTTTATCACAGCAATAGGTAATGGCTGAAGTGGCAGATTTAAAGCAAAGCAGCTGGAACATATTGACTTGATATGCCTTCATCCTACTCAGCCTGAGTTTGCAGCTGTTTTATACACATACACTAGAAAAGCACACTTGTTAGCTCTGATTCCTTTAAGACAGATTTTGGTAAACTATTTTCATGAGAACCAATCCTTGATCTTGAAAAAGCAGAATTTAAAAATGAAAAGAGCTTTATAAGAAGGTCGGACTTCTTATAAAAACTATCTTTGAACAAGCCTGCAAGGAGCTCTATTCAACAAGAGCTGCTTTGCCAAAACAACTGCAGCCTTCCCAGTGCTGCATGTAGCCTGCCTAATCTTGAGCTGGAAGAGAAAATTTTCTAGAAAGCATTTCAGTGTCTCATTGGTTTCCCCTCGCAGAAAAACAGACTGTGGTTGCTTTAAGAAAATAAAGTTCCTTTTACACTGCAGCTGACACATTCTTGGCTATGAAGTTTGATATGCTATTCTCTTTACTTTTCCAAGGTTGAAAACTTGATCCCTTCCTTCACCTTATAAAGCAAAGAAAATAACTTATAAAATTAAGGATGAACCTGCCAAATTACTTCCTTCCAATTGCTCAGTATCCCTTCCTATCAGTAATTGGATTAGCCAAGAGATGTATCTTAAATTGACCATCTGCAGCAAAGGGATAATATTTTGTAGCATTTGAGTTGAGACTGCTTCTGAGATTTGTGGAGTTTGGAATAACCTAGTCAGCTCAAAGCCTCCATACAATTCTCTTTTCGACTCTATGGGTGACCTTACAATGATTGCTTTCCTTACTCTGGTAACAGAATTGTAAAATTACATCAAATCACAGTAACTTCCCTAGCATGCTACCTTTTTTTAAAATGACAATATTCCTTGAAAATCTAATGTGAATTGGAAGAGCCCAGTGGTAGTGTGTATACCCACCGATCCATGCAGAAGAAGGTGAGCAGGATTAGAAGTCAAGTGAATAATGAAAGGAGATTAAAAAAAAAATACTAAATACTATCACTAGTGTTTCCTATTCAATAAAGTGAACCAAAAAAAAAGAAAGTAAAACTACCTTCCAGCAGTTTTCAGGCAGTGTACACAGGTGACATGATTAACCCAAAAGGTTGTTAACCCTTGAACATTGAAGATGGGGTCATCATTCAAACTTCAAGGTACAGTTGTGCGAGTTAGTAAGGCTATAACCATTTAACCACTTCTATATAGGAATCAAGCTTTGTGATTTTGATGGAAACGATACAGAAATCCAGTCAAGGTACCTTGTTTCTAAACTCATTGCTTCCATGGTTACAATGGCCAAATTTTTCAGCTTAAGCAATTCACCTGCTTAGAAACAGTCAGTAAGGCTCTATGATGAGTGTTTAGAGTGCAGTTCTCACTCTAATTTCTAACATTTTTAACTGCAGCATTCTAACATAACTTCTGCTTAAAGTTCTGATTTTTCATATAAGCACCTATCTAGAATTAAAGAAGCAACCCTGGAGAAAATCCTACTATTTAAAAATTCTTATTCACTTGTTTTCAGTTACCATGATGCCTTGATAGACTGTTTCTAAATTACATTGTGAAACTATGATGTGGAGTTTGTGAAAAATACTTTTTTTTCCTGTTAGAAAAATATGATAATCCTTTTTATACATTAGATTTGTCAAATCTGAAGTAATTCAGCATATCAAGAGGGAGGCTGTGTTCTCCCAGTTCATCATGGAATTTTTACTGCCTCTCTGCCCCTTCATACATACCCTGATACTATCTGAGCTATCAGCTATCACAGTTCAAAAGGGGTTTTACATTTTCACAGCAGGAATACAAATCAACTATCCTTTCAGCTAACCCAAGACACATTTCAGCTTTTAACTCTGAGGCCTATTTTATCTTGGCAGAAGCTGTCAAAAAGCTATTCAAATCTTCACTGATAAACAATTCATATTTGCTTGGAAACTGCATCCAAACAATTACAGGACATAGAGGGAAAAAGTAAAAGGCTTGCTTTAACAGGTAATAATAAAGCAGATTTAAAACTGTATCTACTCCTGTTTCTAGTTTGTATAAATAAAGATATTTAAGAAAACGTCATTATTCCACTTCCCCAGGAGGAGCATAAATTCTGCAAGTATAAAGGTAAACCAAGCACATATCTAATCACAGAAATACAGATATCCACACTGTTGCATCACAAATATATCACAATTCAAGAAACCCAACCAATCCAGTTTGCAAGTGGGCTGGTAAGGGGGATGAGGGATACAGCACATCTCCTATGTTGTTTGAACTAGAGAAGATCAGGTTTTAACAAGACCTTATAGCTGCCTTCCAGTAAATAAAGGGGGCCTACAGGAAAGCTGTAAGAAGGAGAGATTTAGATTAGACATTAGGAAGAAATTCTTTACGCAGAGGGAGATCAAGCACTGAAACACTTAAAAGCTGTGAATGCCTCATCCCTGGAGGTGTTCAAGGCCAGTCTGGATGGGGCTGTGGGCAAACTGGTCTGATGGGTGAATAAGTTAAACAAACAAACTGTATGAACAAACGAAAAAATCCTTGTTACCTTTGTCTGATGTTACTGTGCAAGGGCTGATCATTCTGCAAATGGATTGGTGAGGCTGCCCGCTTCGGTGAAGAAAGAGACTCTCGGGGGGTTTGCTTTGGTGATATTGGCACTTCATTACAGGAGGAAGACTCTCGTCCAGAAAGTGTAAGTGAGACAGAACTATCCAGCGTTGCTGAAGTGTCAGAAGCCTGTCTAATGGCACTGTCATCATCTGCTCTTTTATCACTCTTTTCATTTGAAAGCTCTTCTTTAGCTGGAATACCATCTTTTTCACGGCTGGAGTACTCCCTGGATTCAGAAATCACACTCTTTGACTCCTTCATCTCAGTCCTGGACAAATACAAGGAGCCAGAGTCCTTGTTTTCATCATCATGCCTTTCACTTCTCAATCCCTTTCTTTCCACACTGTCAGGATCTTTCCTTGCCCGGGAATATCTGGATGAGTAGTCAGAATCCAAATCAGAATCAAGAGATAATCCATACTTTTCTGCCAGCTGGCGCCGTCTCTCTGCCTTGTACCTAGCTATTCTTTCTGCTTTAGACTCTAGTTCATGGGTATCCATGTTTCCTGTACTGTACGAAGACTCTGTATTTCCTCCTGTGGTTTCTGTGCGGTATCTGGATGATCTGGGTTGTTTCTCTACAGAAGAATCTGAAGTTTCCTCCTCTTCATTTGATCTGCCTGTCAAAAGTACAACACATATGGACCAATCCACCCAAAACTCCACCAAGTACCCTAGCCCACTTACTCTGAATGGTGGGTAAATGCTTTCCATCTTCTTACAAATCAAAACGTACTAGCGACTGCATAGACATACTACAGTTTTTCACTACAGTCTTCAAAGGCACATAAAACTGATTAAGAAGCTTACATTAATTGTAACCCTCTAAGAGTTTCCTATCAAATTATTATTATATCAAAAGCAGGCTAAAAAAAAAATCCTGATCAAAGCTGTTCTGCAAAACTCTTCTTCTGTTACTGAGCATACATACAATGAGGTAGAAAACAAGAAGTAATTCAGCAACAGAATATACTACTTACCTAAGTGATGACTGTATGGATCAGTTGCACGCATATACCTTGGTGTATCTTCTTCTAGTAAACGGTGTGTGACCGACCCTGGGCAGTTCTGTAGAAGCATAGGTTGCGCATCATTTTCAATTCCCTCTAAGCGTCTAGCTATTCTCTCCTTTCTGAAAAAGATGCAAAACAACTGAAGTGAAATATCCTTGAAGATTTGAAGGGAGAGTTTCTAAGAGGAGGTAACAAAACAAGCTGTATGTTTTGTTTTACAGGCCAAAGACTTTTTCTTCTTTACCTTTTCATTTCCAAAAAATCTTGGTTGTTTGGTTCAAACAGTTTTCTTAATTCTGAAACTGAGACAACAAAAGATTATACAGTTTATAAGCTACTAAGTTTCAGAAACTCAAAGAAACTTTCTAAAATGCTTCAGAATAAGAAGGAACAGTCAAAAAGTTAAGAGATTTCACATAATTTTTGTCTGGAAATAAGCATTTACCTTTTGTTTTCCTAATTTACTAGCTTGCTCTGTCAAACGTGCATTAGGCCAACAGGTGTAAACACAAGGAGTTCTCCAAGTACTTCCAGGTTATGCTAGTTTTTCAGATCCAGTGTAAACTGGGCAAGTTAAATTTTCATTAGCTTATGTGCTATATTAACTCCTTCAAAACCAGGCTGTACAGATTTACTGATTACACTGTCTACACAAAGGTTGGTGACCGTGCTTAAAGAGAAGAAGCGTCCCTCCCTTATTCCTTAGTTCCCACGGCTGCAAGTGGCCCAAGTTTGGAGATAACCTGTACAAAACACCACGTATTCTCGCAGTATTCCTGCATGGTTAATCACTTCACTAGTTTTCCCTTGTAATTCTAACTGGATATATTCTTCTCTTGCCCTAAACCTGTTTGGTGGTGTTATGTGCTAGCAGACAGCTGTCACAGATCACAAAATAGTAGAGAACCAACAAGAAGCATGATAGATGAAGTAATCCCTATATATATGTATGTATGTATGTGCACAGTTATCAGTACTGTTTGCAAATCACACTGGAGCAGCGAGTGCTACATTATCAAGTGTGTATCATTTCTTGAAAGCAAAAAGAGAAGCCATTTGGGCTGTCAATGGACACAGTAGATCAGAGGGACAGTGGATGTCATAAGTCCCCAAACTGTCATTGCCGTGGCTAAGACATGATGCTAAAAGCTTTGTGTATCTATTCTGAGGTAATGTATCTCTAGCCTTCTGATCCTGTTCACACAGGAATCAAAAGCTGAAGCAAAATCTTTAGCCTGTTAGATCAGTCCAAAATTACCATCAGAAACACCTCATGACTCAGGAGAATCTAGAAGACACTGTTCCATATCACTGTACAAGTGACTCCACCAGCTTTATTCCCTATTGGACTTCACAGATCTAGATATTTGTAAGTTAAATATTGTGGAAACACCACCCTTCTAAAGGTCAGGTGCACCTTCTCTCCTTTTCCTTCTTACCTATTAGAATTCATGAGCAAATCTAAGTCAGTGTTTCAGCTGACGCATACCCCAGATGGTTTCTGTAGTCACTATCAGTGCTTGCACATCACATCACAGCTAGGAAAAGATAGATACTATTAACATTGGCTGTCATACCATGTTTACATGATGAAAATCCACCAGGACTCCAGGTAAAAGGCCTTTGACCAGTAAGACTGAATTCACTCTCATTCTGCTACTCAGAGAGGCAAATGACTGAGGTACTGATATAGTGTCTAATGCTGAAGATAGAGTATAATACATATGGGAAAAAAATCATCTGGGGCACTCTCTGAAAAAGCCCTAGTCTACATTTTTACAGAACAGACTGAAACCATCAACTTCAATTTTTTGAGGCAGGTTATATCAGACTGCTTGCCATCACATCATAAAAATCTAAGATGTTCCACCCTACCTAACAGGGCTAACCCCCCTCCCACACCTTGCTTAAGCATCTGCAGCAAAATAGGGTGAAGCCTTCATTGTTGACAAAGTTGACCACATATGTAGACAGTTTCTGAAAGCCAGCAAGCTTCAGGCAGAGATCTCTACAGATAGATAAGAACAGAATGTGGCCAATGAAAAATCTGCATCCCAAATCAAGATTAAGACGAGTTCTTAAACTGCATTTTCATAGGTTTTTTTTCCGTCTCAATTCATGAGCAATTCCCACTCAGCTCTACCCATTCAGTACCACTGAGTGAACTGTATTAAAGATCTTATCCACATGAAGCAAGCTGTTCCACATTGACACCAAAGGAGACAATTTCTCAAACACTTTGCTTTCCACCTCTACCAAATCTACTTCTATTTAAGTTTGTTCCTCTGGGTATTAGGGTTTTCTCTTGCACCTGTAGACTATACGTATAAGAAATGGTCAAAACAAAAGCCACAATTGTTCTGCTACTTCAGGCAGGGAGAAGGCCTCCATCACTCACAGTTAATAAAACCACATTCCATTCAAACCCTGATCATTTTTCTTCCCTAGTCACCAATTTATTCAGCCCTCTAAAACATCAAAAAACAGGTCTTTTAGAGAGTTTTAGTCAGGCTCTGAAGCACAGCCTCATATATTAAAGCCTCCACCCTCCTCTCCCCCCCCCAAACAAGGAAATTTGACTATAAGTCATTCTCATACAAGAAATTTGGAACATCCAAAGAACTCCCAGCAGCATTAGCTCAACACCCTCCCAATATGTGTTAGCTGAAGTTCCAGAGATTCTACTACCACTCTGCAGTCCTAAAAAGAGCATTGGACTCACGAAGCATCGCTCCAACACCTTCCCAAACAACATGGGACAAAAATAGCATGAGACTGCTCTACAGTGCCTTATACTTTTTCCACACTTGACATTCCAGACAGCTATTTCAGCTAGGTTGACCAATACCTGCAGAGTTCTTTTGTGAAAATAGTTGCAGTAATACTTTTCTTTTCCGATAAGATTAAAAAAAAAATAATAACATATTACACAATAAAATAAAAAGAAAAAGAAAAAAAAAGAAGAAAAAATGCAGGAAGTCTTCTATTACTGTAGTGATTTTTTTGCTAGCTAAAATACAGCACTTATAATTATGAAAGTTAGTTGGGAAAATTTCTGTCCCAAGGACCTTGGCTGGCCTTTACACGCTTAGTTGCACGTTTCTCTTTTTTGGGTTGCAGTTTGGATATGCTGGTGCCAGTTTCCCATCTGTTCATTAATGTTTTTCCACATAATCATCAGAAATGATATTATCTCAAAGACATCCATGACAAAGTTATAAAATAATAACACCTCTTCCAAAAGGTAGCACAAAGATCTGATTCAGCAAACAAGATTCCGATTTAGCACACGAGAAAAGACTAAAATTCATCTCACTGTAAAAGCTCCTTATCTAAGTTAGTTCATGTTAACAATTCATAAGCACTGTTAGTAAGTATAGTTAAGAAAAAGAAGAACCACAACAGTTCAGGAACTGTCCTGTGCTTCAGGCCTTATTTCAGGATGTTGAGCAAGATGCTGTGGTAACATATCCTCTAAGGCAGACTGTCAAGGAGGCATCTTAAATTTGGTAACTGCAGACATCCTGAGCAGAATTTACCTTGTAAGACGAGGTATCTAGCAAAAGTGGTATTGTTCCATGTCTCATCCCAGAGAGAGTGCATTGAGCAGTGATTTTTAAAAGCATATTTGGAGTTCACATTACAAGAATTTTAAAAAACAAGTGAACAAAAAAACCCAGCACTTCAAATTTGAGTGAGATTTCTTAGAGAATTCAGAATTATTTCGGAAAAATTACTTACAGAATATAAATGTTTTTGCTGGAAGCCCTCCTTAATAATAGCACAGCAGAAACATGTTGGTAAAGTTGAAGACAGATGATAATATTATTCATAGAATACAGAAGCTGTAAAAACTAAATCAAGTCTTTGAAAAGTCCCTAGAAGAAAGTAGGGATGTACATTTTTGAATCTTGCACAGACATAAAGGTTTACAAAGCCTGGTAGAGATGGGTTAAAATTTACCTGCCACAGGCACAACTTCTTAGAAACTGTAAATATTCACTGCAACACAAATTTTCCTCAAAATGTTTAACACAGTAATGAAGTCAACCAGCCTTTTTCCTTCCTTCTCCTCCTCCCACCTGGAAAGGAAATGCTCTGCAAATCAAGCCGGAGGAGCATTTACCTTCTGTTCATGGAGCAGGGGCACTCTGATATACTTAATGCCTAATCATAAGCAGCAATGTGTGAGACTTCAGCTGGACCCTTTGATCATTAGTTCTGTCCCTATCTGTTGAAAATTAAGTATGTTCCTCCCATTTTCCAACACATGCAAATGTGAACCAAAGATAACCCCCAGATGTGGAAAATAGCCTCAAGTAATGCAGCCTCAGAATGTAAGAATCAGCTCCAGTACAAACTGAATCTGGCATCTTTATTACAAAAATCAATTCTTTAGACAAAAGGAGGCATCTTGGAACAGAAACTAGTTCACTGAGAAGTAACTTGCAGAGAAGGTTTCCCAAGTGAAGGCTCTCACAATTAACTTACTGCCCATTTTGGCCAGCGTGCCTGCAAAGCTAAGTATCTGGAGTAATGAGGACTGTTTATTCATACTGGCTGGTACTCTTTAGTAGTCTGCACTGTATAAGTACATATTATTTTAATCTATCAATGTGCCAATGAAATCTCTTTCTAAACATTTGCACTACAAGAGCAAGCACATCACTTAAATACTATGTTGGAAGAAGTAAGCTGTAGTAAATTACATCAGAGAGAAAGTCAGTCAGTTCTATTTTCCTGGAATTAGTGCATCTAGCCTTGTAGACTTTTGTCTGAAAAGAATAAATACCATCAGTTTTGAGAGAATACAAACACAATTTTAATCAAAGCTCTGAGATCTACAACATGCCTCAAACAAAGGGAACATCTTGATGCCAATTACATAGAGCTCTTCATTCAAATGTAATCTTTTAACGTATTCCAAAAAGACTGTGACTCCTCTAACAAAAACAGGTGAATTTCAGTCCTCTATTTCAGCTGTCTTAAAAGATAAAGATGACACTGATGTCTTCTATTTAAGTTATTTAAGGTAAGACGACAAATTTAAAACCAAACAAGAAGTATCCCCCAATGCACAAAAAACAGCTGCTAGGTTTCTTTTAATACTTCTCTCCTTAAAATACTATGGAGAGACAGGATATTAGGGTCATCTCTTTTTTTACTTGAAAAAGACATTAAGCCAAAGCCTCTGGTTCTTGAATAATTTGGCTGTACTGAGGTTTACTATCCACTGTAAACAAAATTTCTTCTATGAGTCAAGTCACAGAACTAGCCACAGCCCACTGCTGAACTGCTTTACAGTGTTAGTGCTAAGAGTGTTGGGATTACTGCTGCTCTGCTTTGCTACAAACTGATCTCATCCACTATACATTAAACCTTATGTAGTACAGGTCCTTTAGCGTGCAAGATCAAAGATCTGTGTGTAGTCAGTCATTCACATAAACATGGTTATTCTACCAACTACTGAGAGTGACTGGAAAGAGTCATAAATACAAGCCAAGTTAATACCTTTCAATTCAGTACTCATATACTTGTACAAATAAACGTTTCAGAAGTTTTGAATTTCAGCTACTTTTTAAACTATTCAAAATGAAGTAAACGAAACTGAGCTTTATGAAGCAGGGACATCAAGTCTTGTAAAACAGCATTGTGATTCATCCCATTCCATTTGAATACCTCATGGGGAAAAGAAAACTCATTTACAAAACAGCTCTGCCTAAGTGAATTTAACTGTGCTGTGCACTTGCGTAGGCTAAATTTCATACTCTATTACCATTTGTGTTCATAATATGTCTCCCTTACCTACCTTTTGGAAGTACTGCTAAGAGGTTAGCATCAATATCCTTTGTGCTGTTGGCAAGTTCCTCTTTATCTTCAAATGAGAACTCCTTCTGAAAACTGAAAGCAACATCTGGTTTACAGAACTGCGACTGTTTCTGCTACAAATCAAATACAGTCAAGATGTAACCAATTCCTGCAAGATAGTCCAACAGAGATACCAAAGAAAATACTTTCCATAAGAACGAAACTAGAAATAACCCCAAGAAACTCACAAAGCCAAACCTAACATCATTTGAAACTTATTTGGAACTGACTATGACACATTTTTGCATTAAATTGCTCACCGGAGACTGCCTTCAAAACTAGTAATTGCATTTGAAATCTATATAGAATGTCTTGCCACAAATACTAAAACATACTTCATCAAATGCAGTACTAACTGTACTCTCCACCCAGAAGCCTTCTGCACAACCACCTAGTTGCTGCTCCTGCTCTGATCTCTGAATAACACACAGTTCATAATACATTTAATAGTAACAGGTCATTCAGTCACTTTGTAACAGCAAAAACGCCCAATTAGATGAGAAAGAATCTCTTAAATATGGTCATTAAACATATAAATTTTCACTCTGAAATGGAAGTGTCATAATTGCCTATAGTAACTTTTTCAGAAGAAAAGTGTTCATCCCTGTGGGATCTACTCTATTAAGAATGGATGGAAACCTGATGTATTAGAATCATAGAACCACAGAATTGCTCAGGTTGGAAAAGACCGTAAACATCATCAAGTCCAACCACAACCTAACCATACTACCCTAACTCCAACAACCCTCTGCTAAATCATGTCTCTGAGCATCACATCCTAATGGTTTTTAAACACATCCAGGGATGGTGACTCAATCACCTCCCTGGGGAGCCTATTCCAGTGCTTAACAACTCATTCTGTAAAAAAGTTTTCCTGATATCCAACCTACACCTCCCCTGGCACAACTTGAGGCCATTTCCCCCGTCCTGTCACCACTGAGACCAGCCCTACTCTTGCTGTAAGCACCTTTTAGGTATTGAAAGAGAGCAATAAGGCCTCCCTCAGCTTTCTTTTCCCCAGACTAAACAGCCCCAGTTCCTTCAGTCGCTCCTCATTGGGCATATTCTACAAGGCCTTCACAAGTCTTGTTGTTAATCTATCCCCAGCAGGCATAAGGAAACTTCTACTAGTCTTAAGATCTTCAGTAAATTATGTAGACAGGTGTAACAGATGCAAATCCCCACAGTGATCCTGGGCTCTTCATTTTGCCACGGAATTGATGTGCTGTACAAGTTGCTGTCATTCTGATAAAACAAATTACACAGCCTTAACACTGGAAAATCTTTTCTTAGGACAGCTTTTAAATGGCTTTTTGAAGTGCTAAATATCATTTCATCAAGGGTATTTGTCTACGAAAAAAAAAATAAATTGACCTTTTTTCTCCTTTTTTTTTTTTTTTGTACTGATTTATCCAGATGAACATTTCTCGATGAAAACGCTGAAATATGACGACTAAATAATATTTTACGTGAACTGCAAGAAGTATATGCTTCTTAATCATTTACAAATAATCTTCCTTTGTATGAAGACATTGTGGAAAAAACTGAACTCTTGAAATGACTATAAGGAACTGGCTGTGCCACATCCAGGCACCATGCCACATGCTGCAAACTGTCTTCAACAACTGCACTTAGAGTAATTGTTCAAGGTGCTGCCAAGAGCAGGAATGCCAGCCACCACAGAAAAGCAATAGCAAATAGAAGATTAAGAGCAGCAATAAGCTGCTTGTTACAGAAAACCGTGCATCCTTATAGGGCGAAAGCACTTAGAACAGAACTAAAAGAAATAGTTCCATAGTGGCCACGAGCAAATGGGTGCACATGTCATCTGAGACTGGGCTGGGACTCAGCCAATTAATAGCACGCTTCCACGTGCTTAACCCCATACTGCAAGCACTCATGGCTTTTATTAGCTTCACAATATGCTATTTTCCTACAGATAGGTTCTGGAGAAATCCCAAGGTTGAGGGACTCAGTTTCAACTTGAAAGCAGTTTCTACTCCTTTTGGCTGAGGTTGGAAACTGCAAGTAAATCAAAACCAAAATCAATTTTGTCAAAACATTTTGATTACTTAAGATTTGTCTCAAAGTGCTGAGGGACCCAACTTATGACTTTTGAGTATCTGGGGTTTGTTTGACAGCACATCCAATAGCTTCAGTAATGCTTGTGTCAGAGTAACACCCTATGTTTCCATTAACCTAGGGCTCTCAATATTCTCAGCAAAAATTAACTGCACGCTAACATCCACCACTGTCCCTGAGTCACATATCAATTTCCAAGGGAAAATCCATATAGAATCATGACCAGTACTAGCACATTGGTCATAAAAAGAATGGCATTATTGGATGGCTTGTGGATTTTCAACAAACTTTCAAATACTGTAAACTAGTTCAGTTCCCCTTTGCCCCTTCATCCAAACTGTTTCAAAGACTCTGAAGCTAGAGATCCTTTAATTGTAGCCTAAACGTCTCTTGCTGGGTTTACATGCATTTGTTCTCTTGCCAGCATAGTTAGTTATGTTACTCCTTTACAGAAGTTTCCACGTTTACTCAATTTTTTCAATACAGACTCTTTCAATTTCATTGATCACCATTAAAAAATATTCTCTACCTGTTTCAGTCAACTTTTTTTGTATAATAGTGATTGGAACTGGAACATTTTGACTCCAGGCTCAGCTCTGCTACTGTCCTGTAAAAACAGGACCTCTAATGGAGAAAGCAGGATTACATGACCAGCTGGATGAATGTGTCCTACAATGTTTGCTTTTTTATAACTACACTACATTAACTGCTCAATCCCACAAGATAAACTAATATGCCCAGGCTTTCATCAGTTGCAAGTGACAGAAAAATGTATTGGCCCCCAGTGTACAACAGTGCACTTAGCAATATTACAATAGGTCCCTTTTTTTCATTCCTTTTCAAGGTCACCAGTTCCTAGTGCACATGAACTTCTTCCTCCTTTGTACTGAGAGTGGCTTCCAGCCTCTGCTCATTGGCAGATTTCATTAAAGTTCTTGTAAAAATCACAAACTTAAGTTTCACCTTTCTGGGCTACATGACATCATAGGCTACCTGCTTCTCGTGTCCCTTCACAGTTTCCCCCATGCCCTCATTTACCCTTTCCTTTGAGACACACTGTCAACATTTATTTATTTATTTATTTTAATTATTAACTGTTTTCAACTAGTGACTATATTATCCACAGAGGAGAATTTTTGCTTCTCCTCTTTGCAGGCAGTTTTGCGGCATGCTCTCTCACACCGCTGCAGGTACTATTGCTTGTTTTAAATATTTACACATTAGAAACAAAATGTTTTCAACCAATGTATCAATTATTTTGCTTTTACTTGATCAGAGAATTCAGAGACAGAGTACTGTTCTGAGGATGATGGTCTGTCCAAATAATTGGCTATTTATAGGTACATATATAAAAATTGTTCTAAAAATGAATGTAGACATATTTAGGACATGTCACAGTATTCACTAAGAACATTCATTAAGAACCTAAACTGAGTCAGAATGATGTTAAAGCAATTCCAAGTAGTTTTAAAGCAACAATTTTTGAAAATTATTCATATGGGTTTAAAAAATATACTCATAAGCAATTCCATATCAGGACTTCCCTTTTTTCCTCAAGGGAATTTATCTAGATGTTGCCCTTTTTTATTAGCTTATCTGCTGAAGGAGCAGGTGCATCATCAATTTAGCTGCTTATGTAGGGTCAGACAGCCCGATTTAGAATGCCAGTTATATTGTGCTTTCAAACTCATCCACTGCCCTTTTTCCTTTTCAGTTAAATTTGGGTATCACAGAATTGTAGGGGCTGGAAGGAACCTCCAGAAATCATCTAGTCCAGCCCCCCTCAAAGCAGGCTCCCTACAGCAGGATGCACAGGTAGGTGTCCAGGTGGGTCTTGAATGTCTCCATAGAAGGAGAGTCCACAAACTCCCTGGGCAGCCCATTCCAGTGCTCTGTCACCCTTACTGGGAAGAAGTTCCTTTGCATATTGGTGCAGAAGTTCCTATGCTCCAGTTTATGGCCATTTCCCCTTGTCCCGTCTCCACGAACCACTGAAAAGAGGTTGGCCATAAGAGGTTTGTACCAAAAGGGTAAATCCTCCTCATTTGCTTGCCTGGATTATAGCCTGTGTTTACGGTTCATGAAATAGAATAAACAGCATGAGGTCCCACAGATTTGTTTCATGAAGGATTTACATGTGGTTTGGCCTCAGGTTGCCAAGGAACTCATGCTACACAATTTTCAAAATTCATACAATTCCTATTAAAACACAGACAGTGTTTCACAACCTCAGTAGTTTTTCTTTAAAAACGATGTAGAAGTGGCATTAGTAGAGCCATCTGACAACCTCAGTAGGTACACTGCTCTTGCAGGTTCCAAAGTGCAGGCTTCTTCTATACATCAGGGATTCCAATTTGAAAACTTCATCTGCTGCAGTAGCAGCATATGGTTTCTAAATAGCTGTCCCACTAACCTAGTTACATGCCCAAAAGCAAGCAGAAGTTTGATTCAAATGCCACTGGTAACACTGCTCTGGCATCTGGATTAAAACTACAGGACATAATGAGATTGTTTTGACTGGAAGACATACGTGAAAATTCACTTGTATACCTGCCAAACATGGGCTTGGCATTTATTATTCTTCTCCTTCTCTAATTTCACAAGTTCTCTGGATTCCAAAATAAAAGATCTGTTCCATGGTTGCATCTTTCTCCAGTAGCCTCATCACAGATTTCCCCTACCTGCACTCCCTAAGACTGTGCAGGAGAAACACCTGCTCACCGTTTCTCTATAGCAGGTAACCAGAAATGCTCAAGAAGTGTGTACTGATGGGAGGGGGTCCCACAGATGAAGTGGGGAAGGGAACAGAGAGGGAATGTGACCTGCCACATTCTTACCTATGCACTACAACACCTTACCCAGGTTCACGTGACCAGGCCTTAAGGCTGCAAGCATGAAGCAGCAGTGCCCTGCACGGAATCAGCCACCTCACCCCTCTGTTCACCTGCAAGGTCCCCTTCTATATGCTGACAAAGCTGTCTGCACAACTGTACCAATAATTCCCTTTCACTGACCACCTCACTTTTCAGGCAGATCAGGTTTGCACACTGGCCCACTAGATGTGGGTACTGTGCCCATGCCTTTCAGGAACGTGGGACTTTGAGCAACCCGGTCTAAAGGGAGGTAGCCCTGCCTACAGCAGGGGGGTTGGAACCCTCAACCAACTCAAACCATTCTATGATTCTATGATTCATTGCAGCAGCATGAGACGCAGTGCAGAGTGGGACTCTTTCCTTAGTAGTATGAGTTGTAAATTTACATGATTATTTAGGAGGCAGTTTTCAGTAACTGTTCAGACCAAAGCTTGGTCCTGTTAGAGGACCAAGAATCATTTTTCCCAGCAAAAGAACAAATGGAGATTCCTGCCATGACTGAAGTAACAATCATGCAACAACATGAGTTCACCAGGCAAGAAGACAGACTTGGCCTTACCTCAATGTTCTCTTCCTGTGGAGCAATCGTGAAGGTTTAAATCTAACCGAGTTTCCTTTGTCAAAATCTGTGAAATTTAAAAAAAAAAAAAAAGAAGAAAAAGAAAAAAAACATTACAAAAATAGGGAACTTTCAGGAAACCACTTTGTAACTTCCAGCCATAGTCCTTTTCCACTGGAAAAAACTGTCCAAAGACCTTTCTTCTAGTCAAAGGGGCATAGGCTGCCATGCCCAAGGTGGTAATAAACCAAAGCCTTGCAAAAGTAAGTAAAGAAAGTAAACATATGGCAGTTTCATAAGGTATTGAAGCTTTTGATATTCTAATCCCAGTATTCAGTGTAGCACTGCAGCCTGGGGGTGTCATTTAAACTGCTTGACTTGGTTTCCCTGCTTGAAAAATGCACAGTAGACATGTTTTATGTTTGTAAAGCACTTTGATAATGAAAAATGCAGCAACAGCCTTTATGGCTGCAGACAGGCAATACTCTAAAAACTGCATAATCACTGCAGAAATCAGAGATACCCAGCTGAGGGTTTGTTGTAGCAACATCCTCCGTGACAAAAACATTTCTGAAGGTTGACCACTGTTTGGAAACTCCTATTTTTTTTCTGAATAACCTTGTACTGCGCTCCACTCTGATAATAAACATGGTTACATGAGAGCAAAATTATGTGAGATGCAGCCTTAAATTCAAGAAGTATGTATTACAAAGCCACTGGTTTCCAAACCTCTCTTTGAACCACAGCAAACAACAGGCAATCTCCCCTCCCTCCCCACAGTTATAACTTCCTCATTTCTGCACTCAAGAACATCACTGTAGGTCTATAAATGATGACTGGTAGCAAGGGGAGGGCAGTGCACCAAATATCAGCTGCCTCCATTCATCAGTGAGAGTGCTGAGGATGCTATTAGGAGACCTCACAGAATGGACAGCCAGGAAGCAGGGCAGCCTGGTCTGTTACTGCTGCTGAAGAAAACATGAAGCTACTAAAAAAGTACTCCCAATGAGAAAATGGCTTTAAATCTCCATTTGCATTAAGTCAACTACCTCAGGACTCAAAATCAATACACCATTTTTCACCTTATTCTTCAGACAAAAACTTCAAAACAATTCAAAAGCAGCAACAACCCTTTAAACTCTGATGCAGAGCTCAGATCTAACTACTTCAAGGAAGAACTAATCAGCCAGTATATGTTGTTACATGTTGTTGTATTATTTAAAATAACAAATTGTTTTGCAAGCAAAAATACTCTTGCATTTCAAAATCTAGGTATGATGATTATTATTTTTTGCAGAAAGGTTTTTAAAAATGCTTATTATAACTGACAATATCAGTCTGAATTTATAAAATGCACATTTTCTCACTGGCTTTCAAAACTTTTCTCCTTCCTTTGCTCTTCCATGTCTTTCCCTTTGTCATCTTTCCAGGCCCACTGGTTTAAAAAAATAATAAGTTTAACACTTTATATATAAAGAGGCTTAAAATTACAAAAGGACATTTTTTGGCATTTGCTGCAAGACAATGTAAATTTCAAGCAATTGTGCTAACAGCATTCTTCAGTTAATAAGCAACTTTTTCCTGTTTTTCTTAACGTTTGCTTTTTCTCCCCAAGCAAATGGAGAATAAAGCACAGAGATTACACAGAATCAGCTTGCCAGACCAAACAGAGTATTTTAGGGAACAACAGTATTAATGGTATATAAGTCACTGCATTTTACACAAGAACATTAAAAAGAAGATAATACTGCATACTGTAAGTATCTCTAAAAAGGGCAAGTTTACATCACTGTGAGAACACTAAGCCACAGCTTAACAAGCCCAGCTCAGTATCAGTTCAGTTAATCAGAACCAGGCATATCTTAAACACACAGCCATTCCAACAGGATAACCACCCATCCTATAGTTTCTGGCACTAAACAGCTGTCTGCCACAAAGTCCTCAAGCAGATCACAGAGAAATGCTCCCTTATCCTGGCCAAAAATAAAGAGGAGATGTGAGAGGGGAAGAAGGCAGCTTTCATCACAGCAGTGGGAGAGGAGCTGCTCAGATGGACACACAAGCTTTTCTGACTCTTGCTCCCCATTAAACACACACAGTAATATTCGTACATGCCGTATTCACAGTGCCTCAAAAGCCTATTAAAACTCTGCTGTAATTTGTAGGGCAAGCTCCTCTCTTCCCCCACACAAATAAACAGAGAACTACGTGCTGTTACACAGTTCTGATATTTTATGAATTTCCTTCTTTTAAATTAAACCCCATGTGGGAGGATGAAAGTCCAATCAAACTTAATGACTAATATGGAAGCTTTAAGATTAAATGCAAGCAAAGACAAAAAATTAAAAACAATTGTGTTTCAAAAGGAAATAAATAAGCCCACAAAATGAACATCAGTCTTACTTCAATGGTTAATTTAAAGAAACCCTCATAATACCTGATACAACAGAAAGAAAATCATTGCAACATCATTTTGTCGCCCCTTTCACTGAAGAATAAACATCCATATAACCCTATTAACACAATTTTTGTATTCAAAATTGAGAGTATATTTACTGAAGTGTACATCGAACTTGCTCACAAGTTTAACCATTTGTTCAGTCTTGTCCCCTTCCCCCCCAGATACAAACTAGCCAGTAAAGCCACTGTCCCCAGTTTAATAAATAGGAAATTAAAAATGCTGAATTAAAAAAAAAAATCCAGATGCAACGTTGCACTGATATTTGCTATTTTTAAAGGCCCTAAGTCGGTGGCAAGCTAAGCTAATTAGAAGATCCATCTAATCGGATCTTTCAAAAGTGTCCTTTAGGAAATAATGAAACAGCCGAAGTGACTAACTGCATACTGATCACTAAAGTAGCTAATGTAGCTGAAGGAGATGCAGTCAAACAATATTTACACATACAGCCATACAAGAGATTAAAAGCACACAAACTGCATTTTCCTCTATCTACTTGGAACTCTTACCTTGCTCCTCAGGGTGTTTAACATTTCCCAAATAGCTGGAGATCCAAGGATTTCGGAACATGGTTGTACAAACAAAGGATTCAGCAAAGAGAAACTACAACAGCAGCTAATTCCCAACCAGCCACAGCCCTAGGCCTGTCTGAGCAATATCATGTAGAGATTTTTTCATAGCACAGGACTGGAGCTGTCAGGCTACCGCGTCCCGGGGAGTACAGTAAATGCATAGCAATAGGCTGCAAGCTGGAGCAGCTCAAGCCAATAATCAGATTACAAACAGAAATTAGGCACATGAATGCTAAAACAGATTGGGCAATGGTGATTGGAAGATTTATAATATCACCACTTCAAAGATGCAGCCAAATCACACGTTATATTCCTGCAAAATGAATGCAGACCGTCTAAATCCTCCTATAAAAAGAAAGAATTCTGCAGAAAGAGGAATGATGCCTCTCCATCTCTGACCAGGATAAACTGCAAATGCTTGCTGAAGAAAAACTGCATCCAGGCTGCCAAAAAATGGACTCTGTTAATCATATCATTATGCTAAACGTTTTGCCCAACTATTAGTTGGAACGTTTAAAACAGACAAGATTTATGGATAACATGTGAGCAAAACTACTGGTGGGGGTGGGGATTTAAGAACAGACACTGCAGCTCAAAATATTTTAATTTGATACAGAAGGTATAAAATTGCACAAGTGCTGTCTGTCTAGCTACCATTTTTTTATTAAACAGATTTGATGGATTTTCAATCCAAGAGAGGAGTCAGAATCCTTTACAGTTCTTTGTGGAAGACTGGAAATGTTTGTTCAAAATGGGGCAAGAGCCCTGGCTCAGCCTTCCACAGCTCTACCTGATCATCCCAGCCAACCACCCAGCACACAAATACCTGACTGAGACAGACCCACACACTGAACCCCATCCAACTGAAGGCAGAAGCTGCCTGCTGGCTTCCCTGTCCCAAACACACTTGTTCATTATCTTCGGAAAGATTTCAGCCAGCAGCAGCAAACTCAGCACAAAGATGAGGTTGTGAGGACACTGAAAAAGTCCTAGAAACAGAAGTTCTTAACTTTGCTTACCCATTTCTATGATATCTGCTATATTAGAACCCTTATCCATGCTTGAAATTTCCATGTACCAGCAAAAATATAAGCACCAATGCTGTGAAATAGACTCCAGAACTACAAGTGAAAAATATGATCTATGAAAAAACTAACAGTGTTAATTGGCTCACTGCAAAGCTGTTGTTAGCCTCTCTAGGTCATCAAAACTACAGCTTTTCATGCTAACAGGTTCTGTCAATGTACATAAGAATATGCACTCCATATTGTCTAATGTTACTGCTATTTTATTTTTAATCATGACTCATTTTGAGTGGCTTTAACAGAAGCATGATTATTGGTTGATCTTTCAACAGTATAGAGTTCTCTTGAACAAGAGTAGCCCAATGCTTAGGACATGACATTGAAGCCCTGCAGTTCCTAAAGTAGAATCATAGAATCATAGAGTCACAGAGTTGGAAAGGACCTACAAGATCATCTAGTCCAACCATCCTCTTATTACCACCATTCCTACTCACTAAGCTACTAAACCATATCTCGTAGCACCTCATCCAGTAACATATAAGTAACATATACTTAGATCAAAATCATCTGATGGTACGCACCCTGTTTTTTTCTTTGCTTGTAAACTTACTAGCTCTTGCATTTAATTCTAACCATCACAGCACTACCATATAGGACAGGGACCCAAACACTGCTGTGCTCTGTGGATCAGCTGTACCAGGCCTAGAAAATATAAAAGCAGTGACAAAAAACGCAATCAGTCAACACCTGTTGAAAACTTGCCATTAACCTGAAAATCTACTTTCTGGACCAGACATATGTGCTGATGTGCTTAAAACACAAATAAGACAGTGAGTACAGAGGTAATACAAACTGCTAATACCGCCTACTTTGGATGTTATAGACTGAATCCTGCTTCCATGAATACTCATATGAATACTTCTTGTTTGACCTCATGAAATGAATATATTACTTCCTACCTGTAGCATTTTTAAGTACCTGTAACTCATTTGGTACACAATAAGGGATTTTT